TTTGTTGCCATGGTGAATGGGATTGTTTCCTTAATTTCTCTTTCAGATCTTTCCTTGTTAGTGTATAGGAATGCAAGAGATTTCTGTGCATTAATTTTTTTGTGTGTCTGTGTGTTATGTGGGCCTCTCACTGTTGTGGCCTCTCCCGTTGCGGAGCACAGGCTCCGGACACGCAGGCTCAGCGGCCATGGCTCATGGGCCCAGCTGCTCCGCGGCATGTGGGATCTTCCCGGACCGGGGCACGAACCCGCGTCCCCTGCATCGGCAGGCGGACTCTCAACCACTGCGCCACCAGGGAAGCCTGTGCATTAATTTTGTATCCTGCAACTTTACCAAATTCATTGATTAGCTGTAGTAGTTTTCTGGTGGCATCTTTAGGATTCTCTATGCGCATAGTGTCATGTCATCTGCAAACAGTGACATTTTTACTTCTTCTTTTCCAATTTGTATTCCTTTTATTTCTTTTTCTTCTCTGATTGCTGTTGCTAGGAAACTATGCTGAATATGTTGAATATGCAACTGTGGTGAATAATAGTGGCGAGAGTGGACATCCTTGTCTTGTTCTTGATCTTAGAGGAAATGCTTTCAGTTTTTCACCATTGAGAATAATGTTTGCTGTGGGTTTGTCATATATGGCCTTTATTATGTTGAGGTAGGTTCCCTCTGTGCCCACTTTCTGGAGAGTTTTAATCACAAATGGGTGTTGAATTTTTTCAAAAGCTTTTTCTGGATCTACTGAGATGATCATATGGTTTTTCTTCTTCAATTTCTTAATATGGTGTATCACATTGATTGATTTGCATATATTGCAGAATCCTTGCATCCTTGGGGTAAATCCCACTTGATCATGGAGTATGATCCTTTTAATGTCTTGTTGGATTCTGTTTGCTAGTATTTTGTTGAGGATTTTTTGTTTTTAAATATTTATTTATTTTTGGCTGGGTTGGGTCTTCGTTTCTGTGCAAGGGCTTTCTCTAGTTGCGGTGAGTGGGGGCCACTCTTCATCGCGGTGCGCGGGCCTCTCACTGTTGTGGCCTCTCTTGTTGCAGAGCACAGGCTCCAGACGCGCAGGCTCAGTAGCTGTGGCTCACGGGCCTAGCTGCTCCGCGGCATGTGGGATCTTCCCAGACCAGGGCTCGAACCCGTGTCCCGTGCATTGGCAGGCAGATTCTCAACCACTCCGCGACCAGGGAAACCCCTGTTGAGGATTTTTGCATCTATATTCATCAGTGATATTGGTCTGTAATTTTCTTTTTTTGTAGTATCTTTGTCTGGTTTTGGTATCAGGGTGATGGTGGCCTCATAGCATGAGTTTGGGAGTGTTCCTTCCTCTGCAATTTTTTGGAAGAGTTTGAGAAGGATGGGTGTTAGCTCTTCTCTAAATGTTTGATAGAATTCACCTGTGAAGCCATCTGGTCCTGGACTTTTGTTTGTTGGAAGATTTTTAATCACAGTTTCAATTTCATTACTTGTGATTGGTCTGTTCATATTTTCTACTTCTTCCTGGTTCAGTCTTGGAAGGTTATACCTTTCTAAGAATTTGTCCATTTCTTCCAAGTTGTTCATTTTATTGGCATAGAGTTGCTTGTAGTAGTCTCTTAGGATGCTTTGTATTTCTGCAGTGTCTGTTGTAACTTCTCCTTTTTCATTACTATTGAGGTTCCCTAAAAAACTAAAAATAGAACTGCCATTTGACCCAGCAATCCCAGTACTGGGCATATACCCTGAAAAAACCATAATTTAAAAAGAGTCATGTAACACAATGTTCACTGCAGCTCTATATACAATTGCCAGGACATGGAAGCCACCTAAGTGCACATCGACAGATGAATGGATAAAGATGTGGCACATATATACAATGGAATATTACTCAGCCATAGAAAGAAACGAAATTGAGTTATTTGTAGTGAGGTGGATGGACCTAGAGTCTGTCATACAGAGTGAAGTAAGTCAGAAAGAGAAAAAGAATACCGTATGCTAACACATATATATATGGAATCTTAAAAAAAAAAAAAAAGGTTCTGAAGAACCTAGGGGCAGAACACGAATAAAGACGCAGACATAGAGAATGACTTGAGGACATGGGGAGGCGGAAGTGTAAGGTGGGACAAAGTCAGAGAGTGGCATGGACATATATACACTACCAAATGTAAAATAGCTAGTGGGAAGCAGCTGCATAGCACAGGGAGATCAGCTCGGTGCTTTGTGACCACCTAGAGGGATGGGATAGGGAGGGTGGGAGGGAGACACAAGAGGGAGGAGATGTGGCGATATATGTATATATATGTAGCTGATTCACTTTGTTATAAAGCAGAAACTAACACACCATTGTAAAGCAATTATACTCCAATAAAGATGTTAAAAAAATTTTTTTAATGTAGAATTCAATATTCTATACTTTCATAAAATCAAATATAACTTTCAGTTGAAAATTTTGTGTGGATCTTAAGGACTGTAGCATTAAAAGTTCACTTTTTACTATCTTTATTTAAAGAAATAAAAATAAATTTTGTCTCCTATAATGTTGCTATATTAAGGTCAGTCTTTAAAGCATTTAAAGCTTGTTCAGATGTTGTCATAGTAGTGAAAAAGATGCTGTTAACACAGTAAATTTGTTTCTATGATAAAAGACAAGCTGATGTGTCTTTCTCAGTAGCCCTTTAATTTTGTGGTTATCAAATAGTATTTTATTTGGTACTTTTAAAAATATTTATGTATTTTATTTATTTATTTTTGGCTGCATCGGGTCTCAGTTGCGGCCCACGCGATCTTTGTTGCGGCATGCAGGCTCTTGTGGTGAGCAGGCTCTTGTGGTGAGCAGGGTCTTTGTTGTGGTGTGCAGGCCTCTCTCTAGTTATGGCGTGGGCTCCAGAGCACGAGGGGTCTTTGTTGCGGTGCGTGGGCTCCAGGGCGCATGGGCTCTGTAGTTTGTGGCATACAGGCTCTCTAGTTGAGGCCCACAGGCTCAGTAGTTGCGGCGTACAGGCTTAGTTGCCCTGTATATGGGATCCCAGTTCCCCAACCAGGGATTGAACCCGCATCCTGTGCATTGGAAGGCAGATTCTTAACCACTGGACTACCAGGGAAGTCCCTTGGTACTTTTCTTATACTTAACCTACTTTGAAATGAAACAGTAAAAGGAATTGATGGGACAAAAATACACGACAGCTGTTTCTTACATTTTAGCGTAGCGCTCCATGCTAAAATAAATCCTAGGTAAATTGATTTCCATGAAAGCTTCTTTGACTAATCATGTTTCCCTACCTCCCCTTATAGTTTTGTGTACAGTTTTCTGTTCCCTATATGATAATTACTCATATTAACATTTAGTATTTATATTTGTGTATAATTAGTTAGGCCCTTATCACCTAATCCTACGTTATTCATTTATGCACTAATAATTTCCTGGTGTTACTGATAGGAGGACTGATAGGAGAAAAGGAAGGAAGAAAGGTAAAAGCAGAAATTAACAAATTAGAAAATACAGTGTTCAGTGAAAACCAACAGCTGATTCTTTAGTAAGAACACTGTAATGTCAAATATGAATTCACAAGTGTGACTATATTTTCCTAAATTAGTAAAATTAACTCAGGTAGTTAAGCTGAATAGATAAAACAGAAGAAACAGGAAAAGTAATCAAGGGATTTCAAGAGGGTAAATCTGGCATACCCTCTGGAAATAAAAGATGAAAAGTTGAAAAACTCTTCAACTCATAAAGCTAAGATAACTGATATCAAAACTGAAAAACAGCATTAAATCAAGCCAACCACTGAGCTCCAATAAAAACTGTGAACACTGCAGCTTAGGTGAGCTTCTCTGGTCGGCAGTATTCCATGTGTATTGTTATACATTGATGCCAAGAGATAAAACATATCCATGGCTCCCCAGGGAAAAAAGAATAGAACGCCTGTGTTTGGTACCCTCATGGACTATGCTTTATGTGCTTTTTCCCTTAGCTAATTTTAACCTATATCCTTACCCTGTAGTAAACTGTAACCATGAGTATACTGGTTTCAGTTGAGTTCTGTCTTCCTAGTGAATTATCAAACCTGGGAATGATTTGGAGAATCTCCTGAAACTGCAATTGATGTCAGAAGTGAGAGTAGTCTTGTGGGTAGTGTTTTCCCCCAACTATACAGTTGTTTACACTGACATAACACTCTTAAGTGATTCCCCTCCCCTTGAGCATGGGGGGGGGGACCAATGAGTTGCTTCCAACCAACTATATGGTAAAGGTTATGGGATGTACATGATCATGTGTATGTAATTATGTTAAATAAGACTGTTGCACCCTCTTGCTGGAGTCTCTCCCTCTCCCCCAGCTTTGAAGTGCTGCCATGTTATGGGCTGCCAATGCTGGGAGTTTACATGGCAGGGAACTAAAAGCAGTTTCTAGCAGCTGAGGGCAATCTCTGGCCAACAGTAACTGAAATTCTCAGTCTTAAAACTGTAAGAAACTGAATACTGCCAATAAAAGTGGATCTTTCTCCAGTCAAGCCTCAGATAAGACTGCAGCCCCAACTGACACCTTGACTGAAGCCCTGTGAGACCCTGTGCAGAACCATGCCCAGAATCCTGATCCACAGAAACTGTGAGATAATAAATGTGTACTGTTTTAAGCCACGAAGTTTGTGGTGAGTTGTTATACAGCAGTAGGAAACGAATATAGTCCAACCCCCTCTACCACCGTCACTCACAAGCACTCAGGCCCTATCCTCTCCATAATCCTGATAAGGTTAATAGTCAATAGTTATAATATTACTTTGACTTCACAAATACTTACAGTTGAGTAATATTCTCAAATTAGACTATGATTAGTTTTCTTCACACATTCATTTTTTCCTGGAGTTAAAAGTAGCTTGGATTTTTTTGTTTGCCTAAGTTTCTATTTATTTATCATACACTGTCCCCAAAACTCTCCTCCAAATGTCCAGCTTTTAGTACGTTCAAACACATTAGGTTGTTGAAGATAACATAAAATGCACAAGCATAAAGAAGACTGATACATTCAAAATTTTAATTTTAAAACCTTTCTCACTAGAAGACACAAAAATTGGTATAGACAGTCTACACAGAAGTTATTCGTGATATGAGAATGACAACACACTTTAAAAAAGCCAGTAAGAAAATGTGCAAAATATCTGAATAGGGAAAAGTTAACAGACAGCAACTGCCTCAAGTTGAATGCTGCCTAAGTGCAGAGGAGAGAGGATGGCATTTCATCCCCATACCCTTTTCTTTGAGTTTTCTACCATGTGTGTATTGCCTTTTCAGAAATACATATAAAAGTGTTACTTAAAAGAAAGTTATGTTTTATATTTAGCCATGTGTAGAAAAGTATCCTCTATTTTTCTATGAAAGATTAAGAATTTCCCAGGACACACAGAGCCTGTTTTTTTCATTTCCTTCTTACCTATCCTAACACATAGGACAGGACATGGCTTCCAAACATATTTGTATGTTAAACAAAACCTACCAGTTCGTGGAGGCAATGACCTTGCCTCCTTCCACACATCTGTGCTAGGTGAGAGGTGGTGTTCAGTCAGTGCTTGATGAATTTAATTGAGGTGATATGTATTTTGTCCTTCTTTTCATGCCACTCTGGTAAGGCTTTTACATTTTAAATACTCCTTTGCTTCTTATTCCTTGAATAATCTGTTTCCTAGGATAATCCATCCTTTTATATTGATTAGAGTTTATGAAGAGAAAGAGAGCTGAATAATCATTTTAGTCAATCATTGCTGTGACGCATTTCAATGATTATAAAGTCACTCTAATTCTTGATTCTTTTTAAAAATATAATTTCAAAATTCACCAAAAACTGGAAATCCATTGTTTCTTTCATATTCAATTTGCTTTGACAGAAATTCTTTACTTAGCTTGTCAATATGGTCTCGAGAGAAGAGATTGAATTCAGGAATGAAATAATGCTCAAGTTGTTCTGTCTTGAGGCACTGAAGAAAGTATGTCACACAGTTATCAAAGCAGAGCTCCAAATCCTTGGAGTGCCACTGACTGTCATCTGGGTCCTGGGTACAGACGTGAAAGAAGGCAGTTTTCACATGATAAGAACAGAACTTATCCAGTTCCTTTCGGTTTCCAAACTTTTTTTTCAGTTGTTCTAAAAGATATTTCATTAGTTTTAAACACTCTTTCCTGTTGAATAAAAAAGAAAACCGTTTATTTTTACTTCTTTACAACCTGTTTCATTCCACAAAGAACTTTAGGTATCTTACAGGAAAAACATAGAGATATAGTAAACAATACAGATATTATAATACATATAGATACAAAAAACAATAAAGATATTGGGTTGGCCAAAAAGTTCCTTTGGTTTTTAAGTAAAAATAAAAGACACATTTTTCGTTTTCACCAAGAACTTTATTGAACAACGTATTCACTGTTTTGCTCCACTACCTTCTGCCATTTTTCAGGCAACTTCGTAATTCCATCTTCCCAAAACTTTTTATCTTTTTGAGCAAAGAACTGTTCCAGGTCCCAGAACTGTTACAGTCTTCCAGGGAATCGAAATTTTTTCCGTTAAGAGAATTTTGTAAAGACCGAAATAAATGGAAATCCACAGGTGCAATGTCTGCTGAATATGGCGGATGAATCAGAACTTCCCGGCCAAGCTGTAACAGTTTTCGCCTGGTCATCAAAGAAATATGAGGTCTTGCATTATCCTGATGGAAGATTATGCATATCCTGTTGAGTAATTCTGGACGCTTTTCATCAGTGCTGCTTTCAGTTGGTCTAATTGGGAGCTGTACTGTTGGAATTGTTTGGTTTTCCAGAAGGAGCTCGTAATAGGGGACTCTGTTCCAATCCCACCATATACACAACATCACCTTCTTTGGATGAAGACCAGCCTTTGGTGTGGTTGGTGGTGGTTCACTTTGCTTGCCCCACGATCTCCTCCGTTCCACATTATTGTACAGTATCCACTTTTCATCACCCGTCACAAATTTGTTTTAAAAACGGAACGTTTTCGTTACATTTCAATAGAGAATCGCATGCGGAAATATGGTCAAGAAGGTTTTTTCACTTAACTTATGTGGAACCCATAAGTTAAACACCAAAGCAGTGAACATAACCAAGCTGATGCAAATGATTTTCAGTGTTTGATTTGGATATTTTGAGCATGTCGGCTATCTCCTGCGTGCTATAACGTTCATTGTTCTCAATTAATGTCTCGATTTGATCACTATCAACTTCAACTAGTCCACCCAACCGTGGAGCATTGTCCAGCGCGCAATCTCCAGCATGAGACTTCACAAACCACTACTGACATGTTCGATCAGTCACAGCACCTTCTCCACACACTGCACAAATCTTCTTTTGCGTTTCACAGTTGGCGTTTTTACCTTTCTTGAAATAATAAAGCATGATATGCCAAAAATGTTGCTTTTTTCCTTCCATCTTCAATATTAAAATGGATACACAAAAATTCACCGATTTTGATAAGTTTTTTTTAATGCACATTGATATGACAGCTGTCAATACAATCTAACAAAATTGTTTCAAATGATGTTAAAGACAACTAAGTGCTACTAGAGCCATCTTACGGAAAAAACTGAACGAACCTTTTGGCCAACCCGATATATATAAATCATACAATTACAGAGTCATTCTAAAACCTAATTATTTTTTCAAATACATGCTTTAAAGTTTCAAGAACCTATTTTTTCCTTTCCTCTTCCCCGTTCCTGGCTTAAATGTTTTATTCTATTAGGATTAATTCAACTACACGAAACCGGCGTATAGTTATATTATTCATCCAGTTATTTAGTACCTAGAAAAATCTTGTTTTAATTTTTATAAAATGATTTTGTCTTATTTTGGTTTACATTAATCATCCAGTTATTTAGCAGTTGACAAAACTTAATGTTTATAAAATTACTAAGCCTAATCAACAATATATTTTTCTTAATGCTTGCTTCAAAGCCTGCATAGGAAGCCTTAAAGAACTTCCTGTGCCTGCACATTGGGCATTCTTGTTTTAACCTTTTAACTTTTGTGATCCTTATTCCAGACAACTTTAGAAACTCAAATGAATGATTCCTTTTCAAGCTCAGTTCTTTATGGTGTCTGTGCTACCAAGAAAAATAATTACCCATCTCTCAGTGTTGTTTCAAATTTACCTGGTCAGTCCCTGGCCTTCAACACAGCCAAACCACCTCAAAGCAAGCACCAGCATCCAATAAGAGTGGTCCTTTGGTCTCCTCCCATTATGCAACATTAATATTCATTACCTTGAAGCAACCAGAACACTAAGACAAATCCAGTTGTCACAGCTAGTCATGACTAGTGTTCACACCCTTCACTCTGTCCTACTTTCATACATCTACATCCATATAACCCAGGCTCAGGACTGTGCTCCCCAGCACTGCCTTCTTTTTTTTTTTTTTTTTTTAATTTTAATTTTTATTATTTATTTGTTTGGCTGTGCTGGGTCTTAGTTGTGGCATGCACGCGGGATCTTCGTTGCCGCGTGCGGGATCCTTTAGTTGTGGCATGCGGGATCTAGTTCCCTGACCAGGGATCAAACCCAGGCCCCCTGTGTTGGGAGCTTAGAGTCTTAACCACTGGACCACCAGGGAAGTCCCACCATTGCCTTCTAACAACACTCTTCCTTAGTCCCTTGGACCTGGCTTCCTTGGTTTCATTCTTACACTCTAATACCCCAGGTCAATCCAACCATGCACTGCCCCCAGGACTCAACCCAGCAATGATCATCTTCAGGTTTAAACTATGGAGTCAACAAAGAACTAAGCATTCTATTGATAATCTGTCATTTCACAAAATAAGGAGGTTACCTGCAACATTTCACTCCATCAATTTCACAGCATGTTTTAGATTGTCCGTGATTTTTCAAAATTTCCTTTTCAATGTGAGAGAAGGACAGACGCCATGTTTCTTCTTAATTTCCAAAAGAAAAATAGAAAAGCACTTTACCAAAAACAAACAATATAAACAACACAATATTTAAACGATTTCCTTCATTAAAATATCATCCTGAAAAATTTCTAGGAGGAGATAGACCAAAAGAAGTGAACAGATAAATAACGTGATTACATATTAAAACAAGTGATTTGAACAAGCAAACAATGTGCCAAGATAGAAAAAAAATTGGGGGGAGAACTCAGGGCTTAATACATTTAGCCATGGTAAGACGTATTACCTTTCATATATTTCTAAATACAGTCTGTTGACGTTTTGTTTCAATAATAATTTGAATTGATTGATTGAAGTTTTTTGTTTATCCTTTTATACCATCCTTGCAAGTTTGGGTATTCACGTAAAATGAACCAGGGAACATTTCCTTTTTTTCTATTTTTTGCGAGTTTATGTAAGAATAGAATGATCTCCCCCTTCTCCCCAAGTTTTAACCATGGATAGCTCTTTTAAGCTCTGACCATCCTATCACTATCTTGTTTTAAACAGAAATTGGTTTATAATTTTAAAAATCAATCAATATAATCTGTCACATTAACAGAACAGGGGAAAAACATATGATCAACTCAACAGAAGCAGAAAGTACAGCTAATAAAATTTAACATTCATTCATCATTAAAAGAAAACACCTCTCAGTAAGTTAAATGTGGATGGAAACTTGATCTAATAACAGGTAGATTATAAAAAAAAAACCACAGCAACATGATAATCTAATGTAAAATGTAGAAGTTTTTTCTTTGAAATCAGGAAGGCAGGCTGTGTGCTATCCCTATTTCTGTTCAACATGCATTGGCTAACCTAGCAAGCACAGTAAGAGAAGGAAAAATAAAGCCATCATTACTGATAGATGATATAACTGTATATGTAGAAAATACAAAAGAAGCTGGGTGACAGGTATGCATGAGTTCAATATATTCTTCAGTCTACTTTTCTATTGGTGTAAAATTTTTCATAATAAAACGTTACAATTGCCTATGAGTAAATCTAACAAAAGACATATAAACTTTCTGTGGAGAAAATTCAAAAAGTTCACTGATGGGCTTCCCTGGTGGTGCAGTGGTTGAGAGTCCGCCTGCCGATGCAGGGGACACGGGTTCGTGCCCCGGTCCGGGAAGATCCCACAGGCCGCGGAGCGTCTGGGCCCGTGAGCCATGGCCGCTGCGCCTGCGCGTCCGGAGCCTGTGCTCCGCAACGGGAGAGGCCACAACAGAGAGAGGCCCGCGTACCGCAAAAAAAAAAAACAACACAAAACCCACAAAAAACTTCACTGGAAAGTATTAGAGGAAATCTAAATAAATGGAGATGTGCACCTGCACATAAATTAGAAGACTCATTATTGTAAATATATCAAGTCTCCCCAAATTCATCTATAGAGTCAACGCACTCACAATCAAAACTCCAAAAACAATGTTTCTGTAGACCTTGACAAGATGATACCAGCATTTTTATGAAAATAAAAGGGTCAAGAATATCTAAATCACTCTTTAAGAAGGACAAAGTGGGAGAGCAGATATCAAGACTTATAAAGTCATATATGACAATATGGTATAGCTCAAGGACAGACAAAGATTTTGGGGGGACAGAATAAAGAGTATAGTAAAGCCTACACAATATACAGACAATAAATATATGGGGAAGGTGGCACAGAGATAGGTGTGCTCATAGCTGCTGTATAAATCCATGTACAGCATCCATTTATGCCATTCTGAAAAAGGCCAACTATAGAGATGGTAAACAGGTCAGCGGTTGCCAGAGGTTTGGGATGCAGAGGGTTGAATAAGTGAAGCACAGGGACTTTTTAGGGAAGTGAAACTGTTGGTATCATGTAATGGTAGATACACGATGCAATGCATTTGTCAAAACCAACAGAACTTCATGGCACAGAGAGTGAACCTTAACATACACAAACTGTTAAAAGGTCACTTAGAAGGTCAAGGGATCTCAAGAAGTAATGCAGACTGTGAAAAGGGATCTAACTGTATTACGAATGTATGACACAAACTCCCTGAACGGCATGGGGGCAAAAGGTGATGACCTAAGTTACTTTGGAAATGGGGTCTGTAAGACTGAAGGCAAAAGGAACTGTACACATGCGCTGTGCACACAGGGGAATGGATTTACAATTCCGAACCATCCATACATGTGGATTGGAACTGAACAAGGAACAATGGAGTAGGTGGGTGGCAGATGGTGGGAGCCAGGTTTCTCGCTGTTGGGATGAGAGGTTACAGAGAGCAAGGAGAGAAGGTAGAATGATCCACGTGATAACAGATTACAGTTCAAGACATCAGTGTGAACTCATGTACCACTTAAAACAGATACAGGTGGTGACACACGGAAATACCTATAGAGCTGTGCATATGCTGCGGTTAGTAATCATACATATATTTCCTCTGCTACTCCAGCAGAGCACACATAGCACCCAGGTCATGGCTCTAGTACACTCTCCAATAAAAGGTTACAGGGTTCCTTGGAGAAATGGCTGATTCTAGGACTGAAGCAAGAAATACACAAGATGAGCCTGGAGCATCTTGTAGTACCAGAAAGTGAGTTAGTGCTGAAAACAAAACAAAACCCACAATTATGGGACGTTTGTCAAAAGGACACAGGAGCCAAATGAAAGAGCCTCCTCAAGGCCAAAGCTGGAACAATTTAAGCAAAAAAATGAAAGCAGTATTGAATTATAGCCCAAAATATGAGACAAATATCCATGAGTCCATATAAATAAATGGGAGAGAAGAGGGCTTCCCTGGTGGCGCAGTGGTTGAGAGTCCGCCTGCCGATGCAGGGGACACGGGTTCGTGCCCCGGTCCGGGAGGATCCCACATGCCGCGGAGTGTCTGGGCCCATGAGCCATGGCCGCTGAGCCTGCTCGTCTGGAGCCTGTGCTCCTCAACGGGAGAGGCCACAACAGTGAGAGGCCCGTGTACCGAAAAGAAATGGGAGAGAAGAGATAAATCTCCAATGCAGAATATCAAATAATTTGTGTAAATACTCTGCTCTTGAAGAGGTGAGCTTAGGGACTTCCCTGGTGGTACAGTGGTTAAGACTCCACACTCCCAATGCAGGGGGCCTGGGTGTGATCCCTGCTCAGGGAACTAGATCCCACATGCATGCCGCAACTAAAAGTTCACATGCCGCAACTAAGGAGCACGTGAGCCACAACTAAGACCTGGCACAAACGAATAAAAATAAATAATTTAAAAAAAAATAAAGAGGTGAGCTTAAGTGTGAGCTGTGCACAGTGACTTCCTTCCAAATAGCACAGTATGAAAAGAGGGAAAGAGAGGATATTAACAGTGGGGAAACCTGGCAAACACTCCCTCAGCCAGGTGATCGAGGTCCACACCAGCAGTGCTAAGTCATACTCACGATGTACCCTTCATGTAATATGATGAGAATGGCATTTCAACTCTGCGGTCCTCCTCCACCAAACTCAGAACTCCAGTCTAACCCACAAGAAAAGCATGAGACACATGCCAAACGAGGGACGTTCCACAGAATATCTGACTGGTACTCCTCAAAACTGTCAAGGTCATCAAATACAAGGCAAGACTGTGAAACTGTCACAGTCAAGAGGAGGCTAAGGAGATGTGGCAACTAAATGCAATGTGGTATCCTAGATGGGATCTTGGAACAGAAAAAGGACATTAGGTAAAAATCAAGGAAATCTGAGTAAAGTATGGACTTTAATTAACAAGACTATACCAATATTGGTTCATTAATTATGACAAATGTGTCATATTAATGTAAGATGCTAATAATGGGAAATAGGTATGCGGTATATAGCAACTCTCTGTATCATCTTTGTACTTTTTCTGCAAATCTTAAACTATTCTAAAATTAAAAGTTTATTTTAAACAACTATGTTGAAGTATCATTTCTCTCTTTTTGGATTATTGGCAAAAATTCCAAAGGGTTTAATGAGTTCTGTTGTTAAAGCTGAGGGTGAAATGGGTACCCTCATACACTTCTGTGGGAATGCAAATTGGTGAATTCTGTATGGAGGTGATTTTGGCAATACCAGCAAAATTAGATATGGATTTACTATTCCTTGACCAGCTGTAAAAACAGACTATAAAAAGGAATGGGTGCTCAAAAAAACAAAAACACTAATTCGAAAAGATAACATGCACCTCAATGTTCACAGCAGCATTATTCACAATTGCCAAGATACAGAAGCAACCTAAGTGTCCATCAACAGATGAATGGATAAAGAAGATGCGGTATATATATACAGTGGAATACTACTCAGCCATAAAAAAGAACGAAATTTTGCCATTTGCAGCAACATGGATGGACTTGGAGGGCATTATGCTAAGTGAAATAAGTCAGACAGAGAAAGACTAATACTGTATGATGTAATTTACATGTAGAATCTAAAAAATAAAACAAACTAGTGAAGATAACAAAAAAGAAGACGACTCACAGATACAGAGAACAAATGAGTGGTAATCAGTGGGGGGGAGGGGCAGATACAAACTACTGGATATAAGAGAGGCTACAAGGGTGTAGTGTACAACACGGGAAGTACAGCTAATATTTTGTAGTAACTGTAAATGGAAAGTAACGTTTAAAAACAGTATAGAATTTTTTTAAAAAAAGGAACGAGTGCTATCTCTACACAGAGCTATGGAGTGATAACCTAGATATCTTATTAAGTGAAAATAGAAAAGTACTTTTTAAAGAGGGGGTGTTGCATATGAATATATATACATATATATATATATATATATATATGTACTTACTTGTACTTTTTAAAAATGAAAGGTGAACTGAAAACAATTATAGGGCTTCCAATCAGGGAAGGAAAGAAGAGTGTAGAGGAAACATAAAGGGAAGCTATGTTTCCCTAAGAATACTTTTTTCTGTAGCTTTGACTTTAGAACCATGTGAATGCTTTATAAATTTATGAAACAAAGCTAAATTAAAATTTAATTCCAATACCTAAAATTAGAAACAATAATGAAAACAATGAATTTAAGCATACTGAGTTGGGTAGCTTAACCACCTGGAGGAATTTTTTCAAGTGGGTTTAAACTTAGTATTTTGAAATCCTTCAAAAATATACAGAAAAAGTTGAAAGAATTTTATAGTAAACATTCACATGCCTACCACCTACATTCTACAATTAATGTTTTGCTATACTTGCTTTATCACATATTTATCTATCCATCCATAAATTCTTTTTTTTTAAGAAAACTGTTATTTTTAAACAAGTTGTGGATGGGGACTTCCCTCGTGGTCCAGTGGTTAAGAATCCACCTTCCAATGCAGCGGATGCGGGTTCGATCCCTGGTCGGGGAATTAAGATCCCACATGCCGCCAGGCAACTAAGCCCACACACCACCACTACTGAGCCCGTGTGCTCTGGAGCCTGCACACCACAGCCAAAGATCCTGCATGCCACAACAAAGATTCTGTGAAGACCTGACGCGGCCAGATAAATAAATAAATATTTGTTTAAAAAATTAAAAAAACAAGTTTTGGAACTAATTAGAATACTTTACCCATAAACACTTCAGCATGAATATTATGAACTGGAGTTCAATATTTATTTGCGTGTGTGATTTTTTAGGTAAGATTTGCAAACAGTGAAATGCACACATCTTAAATGTAGCATTTGATGAGTTTTGACAAATGACTACACCTGTGTCATTTGTTTTTCGTTTTCTTTAATTTATTTATTTGGTTGTGTTGGGTCTTAGTTATGGCACGTGGGTTCTTTGCTGCCACACATGTGTTCTTTGTTGCCTCGTGCGGCATCTTCCTTGAGGCAAGCAGGATTTTTAGTTGTGGCATGTGGGATCTTTCTAAACCCCCATCAAAAAGTTATCATCACCCCAGAAAGTTCTCTCCTGTCCCTTCCTAATCAATCCCCAGCACCTCAGGCAACCTCTGCTCTAATTTTTTAAAAAAACCATAGATAAATTCTGCTTGTTCTAGAACTTACTATAATTGAGATCATACAGTATGGACCCTTTGTTTCTGTTTTCTTTCACCTGTCTTAATGTTTTTAGTATTCATCCATCCTCTTATCAGTGGTTCATTGTTTTTTGTTGTTGAGTAGCATTCCATTTTACGAATGTACTACAGTTTGTTTATCCATTATCTTTTGATGGACTTCTGGGCTCTTTCCAGATTTGGGCTAGTACATATATTCTTATATAAATGTGTTATGGACTTAATGCTGGATTAGGGAAGATATATGTTTAACCTTTTAAGAAACTGCCAGACCTTTTCTCAAAGGGATCGTACCGTATTACACGTCCATCAACAGTGTATGAATTATTATTTTTTTAAATAAAGCTTTGCATGTTCATTGATTGGAATGTCAACATTGAAATTGATGAATAACTTTTTAAAATATTTAAATAAATTTAAAATGCTGGGCAGATAGTTTAGATATCTGGGAATATTGTAGTTTTATTGATTTTTTTTTTCTATTTTAGCACTTATTGTATCTATGCTTTGACATGAGGTATTGAGAAATATGATGAAATGTGTATACAGTCCCTGCCATGCTCATAAAGTATCATTCTGAAAATGAACTTCAATGCAAAGACATACCTTCTAGGTTTACTTTATGTGTAACGATACTTGTACTTAGTTGACATTCAATCTCCTATGTTAGATAAAGTAAACTATGGATGATTACAAGTTTGAAGGAATTTGTATATTTTTTAGTGTAATAAAAACATATACAGATGAGCAAACAGGTTTAGCAGGGCTCGATAACTAGCCCCAGATCACACAGCTAGTAAGGGAAGAAGCCTCAGGATTCAGACCCAGGGCAGTCTGACTCCAAGGCCAGTACTTGCTTTTCTTTATTAAAAACAAACAAACAAAAACAACATTCAAACATGGGCTAGTAGACATTTTAAAGCTGAGTACTTGATATTACTATTACAGTTATGCCCTTTTCAATTCCATCTATCACTAAACTCCCATCTTGTAGCCTATTTAGCCTAATGGCTCTTGAAATGCCAATAGCACGAGTTGATCTTTCACTGCCCTAGTATGTAACATTAACGACTCCTTTATATGGACGTCTTTTAAGTTAACCTTCATAGTCAAGATACCTTGAAAACCACTTCCTTCCTTTGCATGCTTGGGTACCAGGTAAAATGGCTGTCGTCTTAAACTGTTCCTAACTTTTGCTCCAAGCCAGTTACTGATGGGCAGGCCTCCCATGGTGCTAGCAGGCCAGCTGCTTTTGGATTCCAAAGCCAGGATTATATCGACAGATATTTCTTTAGGTTTTCTAACCAGAAGTGTTACTGCAGGGCTCCCTCTTCTCTTCCTCTCCACCATGACGTCTGTATCTGTTTAAACATATTAATAAAGAAGAAAGGGCTTATCAATCCACTTTTCTCTAAAAACACAGGGAAAATAACATAGCTATAATTGGAGATCCATAAGTACTAAGTGTAAGATGAAAATTAGTTCTAAAGAAGAAAATGACCCCACAAGGCAGTTTTTTACTCATTGAGCCAGTATTTATTGATGATACCCATTATGGGGTATATTATCAAGATTCTGTCTGGTATATAAAACGAGTAGCCCCCAAAGACTTTGCGGTTTGGGAGTGCTGTGATTAAATTTTCATTTAAATTTGTGTATGGTGGTTTGGAGGGAAGCCTACATAAGAGGCCAGATGAGCAGCAGGGAGGAGAGAGGTGATTCAGAAGACCTCAGCGGGAATTCCCTGGCGGTCCAGTGGTTAGGACTCCACGCTTTTGCTGCCGAGGGCACGGGTTCAAGCCCTCGTCGGGGAACTAAGAACCTGCAAGCTGTGTGGCACAGCCAAATTGAAAAAAACAAAACAGCAACAGCCCAGCCCGGAGGGTGGAGGCGTGTCATACAGAGAGGCAGTGAGCACCAGGACCCAGGGAGCAAGCACTGCTCACTGCAGCATTATTCACAACAGCCAAGATGCTTGAGACAACCTAGGTGTCCTCCGATGAATGAATGGGTAAAGAGGTTGTGGCATATATAGACAATGGAATATTATTCAGCCTTAACAAGGAAGGAAATCCTGCCATTTATGACAATATGGATGAACCTGGAGGTCGTTGTGCTAAGCAAAGTGCATGAACTCATTTATATGGAGAAGCTAAGAAAGTCAAACACAGAGAAGCAGACTGTAGAATGGAGGTTACCAGGGGCGGGTAGGTGGGAGAAGTGGGAAGATGTTCATCAAAGAGTACAGAGTTAGGGCTTCCCTGGTGGCGCAGTGGTTGAGAGTCCGCCTGCCGATGCGGGGGACACGGGTTCGTGCCCCCAACTGCTACCACTTCTCCCAGTTCACTCCCTTCAAAGCATGCATTGCAAAAAAAAAAAAACCAAAAAAACAAACAAAATAGAGTCAATCAACATTTAGGGAGAATACCAAGAAAATATAGTAGACTAAAATCAAGAGCAAAGAGTTGTTTCTAGGAGGTAGTAGTCAACAGTCTGCTGCAGGGAGATCAAGAAAGATCAGGAGAGGCAATTAGTAGACATGATTAGATCTTTAAGAATCAAAAGTCAAAGATCTTACCTTCAATATTTTTAATTTCTTCCTTAATGATTTTCCTAAACTTGGACAGCATCTTAGAAGCTGATAATATTTCCCCTTCTAAAAACTGACCCAGAGGATTTCCTTTGGGATTTCTTTTGAACTTCACAAAGTAGTGAGCACCACTGTTGTAATATTCTTCTAGCTGAATTCGGGGGACCTCCAGTTTGAACATAACGTCAAATTCATTAGGAGCAGAAATCTAAGAAACAGTAAAAATAGCACCGATGTGTTTGCTTGTGAATATTTTCCAACCAACTAAAATTTTTTTTCTTAAAATTTCCACTTAAAATCCTACCATGAAAAGCAAGATTTCTAATATTTATACCCTCTGGGAGTGAGACTAAGGGAGCTAGGTGAAGAGTATTGGCTTCAGTTTGTAGGTTCTATACGCATTTTCTTAAAAACAATTAAAAATAATATGCAAGCTTTAAAAATCTGTACCAGTTTTTTCCTGAGATTAAAGATTGATAAAATTAAAGAAATTTAAAGTGCTACCTTTTAAGTTACAAAGCTACACACTGAGCCAGCCCCCTGTCACTGGTCTCAAAAATATGTGTAGTTACCTCCTGGCTAGTTGAGCAAGGGCCCTCTCCTTACAGCTAACAGTCAGCCAAATGAGTATGAGCTCCAAGTCATACACTAACTACATTAATGTCTTTGAACCACAGCATTTTAAGAGCTTCAGGGAATTCCCTGGCGGTCCAGTGGTTAGGACTCCATGCTTTCACTGCCAAGGGCATGGGTTCCATCCCTGGTCAGGGAGCTAAGGTCCCACGAGCCGTGCAGCGTGGCCAAAAATAAATAAATAAGAACTTCAAAGAATCTTCTTCATCACCACAATAATAATTACAGCAATTATAATAAATGATTATTTTCCTATATTAAAAATGCACAAGTCTTTTACTCATTAGGAGTATGCTTCAAGTACAGCTATTGGACCGTACTATTCAACACAGTATCTGGTGGCCCTGTGTCTTTTTTTTTTTTAATTATTTTATTTATTTATTTATTTTTGGCTGTGTTGGGTCTTTGTTGCTGCACGCGGGCTTTCTCTAGTTGCGGCGAGCGGGGGCTACTCTTCATTGTGGTACGCGGGCTTCTCATTGTGGTGGCTTCTCTTGTTGTGGAGCACGGGCTCTAGGCCCGCAGGCTTCAGTAGTTGTGGCTCTCGGGCTCTAGAGCGCAGGCTCAGTAGTTGTGGCGCGCGGGTTTAGTTGCTCCGCGGCATGTGGGATCTTCCCAGACCAGGGCTCAAACCCGTGCCCCCTGCATTGGCAGGCGGATTCTTAACCACTGCGCCACCGGGGAAGCCCTGCCCTATGTCTTTTGACCATGTGAACGTGGCTAGTCCAAACTGAGATGTACCATGCTGTGCAGTGAACCGTGTCCTCTCAAAATTCATATACTGATGCCCTAACCCCCAATGTAACTGTACTTGGAGACAGGGCTTTTAGGAAATAATGAAGGTTAAATGAGATCATGAGGGTAGGGTCCTAGTTGATAGGACTGGTGGACTTAGATGAAGTGAGATCGGTTGCTGTGTCTCTGCACACATGCTCTGAGAAACACAGCGAGGACACAGGGAGAAGGCTGCTATCTGCAAACCAGGACGACAGCCCTCACCAGAACCTAACCGTTCTGGCACCCTGATCATGGACTTCCAGCCTCCAGAACTATGAGAAAATAAATGTCTGTTGTTTAAGCCACTCAGTCTATGATATTTTATTATGGCAGCCCAAGCTGACTAGGACATACTATGGGGGTGAAACAAACACGTGAAGTGCCATCAGTGGGAATGAAGTAGAAGCCTCTGAAAATCCACTTTTCCATAAAAGTAACAAGAACATGGGCAGAAAAGGTCAAATTCAACTTTTTCAGGTCTCTGTAAATTAACCAAAGGCTTGCAACAATCCAAGGAGGATTTATTCAAGAAAAATGGTCGAGGGCTTCCCTGGTGGCGCAGTGGTTGAGAGTCCGCCTGCTGATGCAGGGGACATGGGTTCGTGCCCCGGTCCGGGAAGATCCCACATGCCGCGGAGCGGCTGGGTCCGTGAGCCATGGCCGCTGAGCCTGCGCGTCCGGAGCCTGTGCTCCGCAACGGGAGAGGCCACAAAAGTGAGGGGCCCGCGCACCGAAAAAAAAAAAAAAAAAAAAAAAAAAAAAGGTTGAATCCCAGTAAGGACAGTGAGCCTTGAGGGCACCCTAAATTGCCCTTTTCCCATCCCCAGCAGCATTCCCACTCCTGACCAGAAACCCTCCACCAAGAGCAGCCAGAACTCCGACTTCTAATACCATAGGTTAGGTTTGCCTGTTTGGGAACATCATATAAACTGAATCATATAGTAGGTACCCTTTAGACCTGACTTCTTTCATTTAACACTGTGAGATTCATCTATATCGTTCTGTCTATAGTGGTAGTTTGTTCTTTTTCATTCTGTGTAGTATTCCACTGAATTAATGGAATATACCAAAATAGATTTACTTATTCTATTGTTGAGTATTTGGTTTGTTTCCAGTTTTTAACTACTACTGATAGTTCTGAGTTTAACTGTTACAAAGTTGTTCTGAGCATTCTTACATATGCCTTTGGGCGGCCATGAGCACCCGTTGCTATTGTATATGTGCCCAGGAGTGGGGCTGTTGGACCACAGGACAGGCAAATCTTGAACTTTAGAAAAAAAATGTCAGTTTTCAAGACGTAGTACCAATTTATCCTCCCAGCATCAATGCAAGGGAGTTTCAGTTGCTCCACATCTCCTCCAAACTTGGAATTGTCAAGTCTTTTAAAATTTTAGCTCAAGGAACAAAAATCAGTCCATGTGGACAAGGGGAAGAGTGACATGAAATGAAGTTGAAGCGGAGGCCGGGGCCCAGATTCTGCGAGGACCTGTAGATCCTGGAAAGGAGTTCAGATTTTATTCCATCATGTTCATTGAGAAGCCAGGTTTTAGCTTTGTATTTTTAAAAATTTACTCTGGCCTCTGTGGAGATATTAGAAGAAGGCAAATAAGGAGATTGGAAAGGCAAAATTCAGGTGAAAGATGATGGTGGCTTAGAGGGAGGCGGGGGTGAGCTGCTGGGGATGGACAAAAAGAACATTATAAACTGGAAATCCCACAGGGAATTTCTACAAGAAAACTTCCAGATTTTCACCTAGAATTTGATAATATTACAATAAAATACATGAATGGAAATGCGTCAATATGAATCCAAATAAAAGAGTTAATGAGAAGTGTCTTTTGTCTATCCCTTTACCAATTATAAAGTTTGGAATCCAACTTTGAAATTTAAGTGTATGCATAACAGAAGAAAATACACCAAAATAACCGTGAATAAAACAAACAGGAATAATACTGTTCTTCTATTTGCTTTTCTGAAATTTCCAGGGACATCAACACGGAACAGGGGCAAATACGGGAGAGGCTGAGGAAAGAGGTATGGAGCAGGAGTACTGTTGTGCTGTGGGAACCTACTGAGGGCAGGCAGTGGGTCAACTCTACAATGAACACGTATATACCTTTTATAATCAGTTTTTTAAAAGCAATACATGTTTTAGATAAAACAAATTTCACTGAATTTCCTTCCATCAGCTTGATTTTCAAAAGGAGAGGGGTACTGCTATATTTAAAGTGGATAACCAACAAGGACCTACTGTATAGCACAGGGAACTCTGCTCAATATAAAGTAACAACCTAAACAGGAAAAGAATTTGTTAAAGAATAGATACATGTATATGTATAACTGAATCACTTTTCTGTACTCCCGAAACTAACACAACATTGTTAATCAACTATACTCCAAAACGAAATAAAAAGTTTTAAAAAATAAATAAATAAAAAGGAGAGTGGTTCTCTTGGGAGACTGTTCTCTGTCTTCTCGTTCTCCAGTTCTAACTAATAACTTTCTCTTCCCTTTGGACCCTCCACATAATAGAACTGATCGACATTTATGTAGTAAGAATCATGCTCCAGGCAGATTAGTCTGATGCAAGTTTTGCTCACTTGGCTTTCAAGAAGCTTTAGATGGAATTATATGAGTGGTCTTCAGTGCTAAAAGAGTTTTAAGATCCAAAGACCGATACATAACACCATCTTTCTGCAATAAACAAATATCACTGAGTCCATAGCAATAAAATGAGCAGCCGTATAAGGGTTCAAAGTTGTGCAAAACGTTCTGTGACAATGGAGCTTGCAATCTAGATGGGAAGCCAAAACAAAACAGCTATGTCACAGACCACAAAAGAACACGAGTCTGAGTTACTTCCGAAGGGAAGTGAGGGGCGCGTAGGAGGTGAGTATGCAGGAACTGCAGGAGTACGCGGGAACTGCAGCGGAGGGGCGGCGCAGCTCACCTTCACGCGCTCGTAGTAGCTCCCGGTGCGCAGCAGCGCGACGCCTTTGAACTCGGACTCACAGCTCTGCAGTCTCCGCAGCAGGTGGTCCATGAGCCTGTTCACCACCTCCGCCGCCTCAGAGATTTCCTGGCGGCTCAGCCTCAACTTCTCCAGTACCGCCCGGGGCTTCCAGGAGCCGGGCGCCTCCTTCCCGCGCCCGAGACTGGGGACTGGGACCAGCGGTTCGGGGACCTCCGTGGGCCCCGGCTGGGGTCTCCGCTCCCGAGCGGAGCGCGCGGTGCCCTCGCGGCGAGATGCACGCCTGGGAAGGGGCGGCCCTGGGGCCGCGGGAGGCATCACCCCTTCGGTCCGAGCAGGCGGACCCTCCACCCGGTCCTCGGCGCGGGCAGCCCGCGAGCGTACCTGCCGCTTCTCCTGGGGGTCCGGGCCGCTCTTCTCCCTCCGGGATCCCGACGGCCTGGCGGGGCCGCACCTCCGCGCGCTGGGCCGGGCGGCGTCACGGACAGCCGGGGACTCTCTAGGCTCGGTCGGGACGCCCTTCACACGCGGCGCCGAGACCCTGGGGGCGGCGGCTTCCGCCTCCGAAGCTGCTCCCGTCGCCTTTCCGCGCCGCGGGGCCATGGCTGGCGCTCTCGGCTCCCCAGAGGGAGAAGACTCGGCTTCGGAAAAAGGCCTTGGGAGGAGGAGCCAGCAGTGGCGATTGGAAGTGAAACTTCAACATGTGGCGGGAACTCAGCAAACGCTGCGCGGAAGAAGAGCCCAGAGCCAGGTGGCCACGGGGAGCCACGCCCCCGCCGCGGAGGGGCGGGCCCACGGCGCTCCCGCAGTCGCCCACTTTCTCGCCTTCGCGTGGAGTGGTGCCGGCGGCTTGGGAACAGCGCAAAACCGAACCCAGGGCAGCGCACAACACCTTCGCGAGCTTTGAAAGCCAGACGCATTTGCCGGCGTAGCGCCTACAAAATTTGGGGGAAATTATAACACCTTCTCGCACATTGAAGTTGACAGAGAAACTTTTTCAGTGTAAGTTTAAATAAAGCATTATTTATTAAAGGGAAATAGAAAATAAAATTTTTACTAGATGGAATGAGATGTGGATTGACTGTAATTGGAATAAATATTTCATATTATTTGATTTTGTAAAAGCACGCACAATCTTAAACTGTGAAGTTCCTATTGGTGAGTTTTAGCCACTGGTTCTCAAAAGCCCATCAAAAAAATGGCACTTGCATTTTAAATAATCCATACTGCTTTGGCGTTGTGATTCAAGAGTATCTCAATACAGGCTTTCAAGTATCGCTATCTAAAGCCAAATCGTTTACAGAAATACGTATTTGACAGGAAGCCCCTAGGTTTAACGTGCCTGGTACTTTTCTTTTTAACCATCCTAACCATTTTTAAGTGTACAGTTCTGTGTGAAACCATCTCCACTATCCATCTCAGAACTCTTCATCTTGAAAAACAGAAACTCTACCCACTAAATCATAACACCCCATTCCCCCTGCTCTCTCCGGCTTCTGGTAAGAGCCGTTCTATTTTCTGTCTCTGAATTTGACACTCTGGGTACCTCATGTAAGTGGAGTCATACAGTATTTGTCCTTTTGTGATGGGCTTATTCACTTAATATAAAGTCCTCAAGGTTTATTTATGTTGGAGCTGTTGTCAGCCTTCCTTTTTAAGGCTGAATAATTTCATCGTACGTATGTACCACATTTTGTTTTCCATTCATCTGTCAATGGACAAAACTGCCTTGATTACTTTTTCAAAAGTTTTCTTTGAAACCAGTATTTTGCTATGTCCTTCTCTTTGAACTGTGATGTAAGAGACGTTTTTCTTTTGTAAAATGGAAGGAGGACTATTGTGTATTCAGACTTGTTGTCAAGCAGACCAATTTCAGGGAAATGTAAGTTGAAATGTGGAAAGCCGTTTCCTTAAAACTGCAGGTGTACTTGGGCTGTCTTCCAGGATGTGCAGGAGTATGCCTGCTCCAGACTGAAGACCTCTGCTCTATGGGTCTATTTTTGTTCTCCAAGGGCTCCATGCTTGTCATGGAATCCTGTAAATGCCTCTATAGCTGGCTTAATGCTGACTTCCAGCTGTTTCCAAAGTCTTCTAAAGTGCACTGGTGTTAGCTTAACCAAAAACGCGCAGGCAGCAATCAACCAGACCAGAATCAAATACCTCTTCTGCTGACCCGTCAAAGGAGGAAAACTTGTTTCTTGCTCAATCTTGCAGCAGCAATCAGTGTCCAAATTATAGAAGGAATGACTTTTTAGTTGAATCTTGATAACGAGTTTGGATTTTATCTAGTAGGGAAAAACAAGAGATGTGGGTATATATTTTAACTAGATGATTTTATATCTTCCCCTTTATATCTCATGTTTGTCTCAGTAATTCACTTAGTCACTCAACAAATATTTGGCACAAATACTATGTGCCAAGCTCAGTTCTAGGCTCTTGGGATATATTGATAAACAAAGATCCTTGTCTTTCTGGAGCTTGCATTCTGGCAGGGAGAAACAGACAATAAACATAATACATATGTAAATTATCCCATATAGTAAAAAAGGATGAGCTATATTGAAAAAGGAAAAAATAGTGCAGGAATAAGCAGGAGTGAGGAATGGTACAATACTAAAATAGTGAGAGAATGACATTTGAGCAAAGATTTAAAGGAGAGGATACCCAGGGGAAGAGTGTTCCAGAAGAAGGAAAAGTTAATGCAAAGGACCTAAAGTGGGACTATGCCTAGTTGTTCAAACAACAACCAGTGTGGCTGGAGCTTATGAACTTTGAGGTGATGTGTGGGTTATCAACTTACTGCCTCTCAGTTCCAAACAAACCCTTCAATAAATGCTTTCTGATAAACAACAGAATTCCTTTAAGCATTTCTCTTTTAAAGTGCCCACTATGTTAACTTTTCTCAGTAGAAGTTGCTGGAGGAACATTGCAGGAGAAAGAGGTTTCCTGCAATCTCCAACATAACAGAGGGAGTGGAAGGGGATTGACAGGGTGAAGGTCAGACTTGTGGGTGTGAGAACATCTGGTAAAGCCTGCAAAGTGATCCCTCTGGGACCTTGCAGCCTTGGCCTGGCCATAACCTATCTAAAGCATACTAGGCAGGGAAACCAGGATTCTTGCCTGACCTACATACAGCTGCCTGTGATCCACAGGGTCCCATACCAGGCATTTGATCCTTCTGCAAGACCCCTATGTTATGTAGCCCATGCTCTCTAAAGGCCTCCTGCCCTTGAGATCTGAATCCCTTTTCTTTTTTTTTTATTTTCCTGCGGTACGCGGGCCTCTCACTGCTGTGGCCTCTCCCGTTGCGGAGCACAGGCTCCGGATGCGCAGGCTCAGCGGCCACGGCTCACGGGCCCAGCCGCTCTGCGGCACGTGGGATCTTCCCGGACCGGGGCACGAACCCGTGTCCCCTCCATCGGCAGGCGGACTCTCAACCACTGCGCCACCAGGGAAGCCCTGAATCCCTTCTTAGTTTATTCTTCCTTGGGTACTCTCCCTCAGCCCTAGGGTACCATATATAGTTTCCTTATATATATAGTTATTCTTTTGTTATAGTTAATTATTATTATATTAAACATCTCCTGTTTAATCTACTGAGTGATTTCTATCTCCTGATTGGACCCAGACTGCTACAGAATTGGAACTGGGAGTGGTCCCAGGAGATAAAACCCTAAAGATGGGATTTGGGGATTGGTTTGGTTGTGCCCTTGGGCTAGAGTGCAGTGCTCGAGGAGGAAGAACCAGCAAAATGAGAAGGAGAGACCAGAAAAATAGGAGGAAAACCAGAAAATATTGATGTCTTAGAAGATAAGAAAGTGAATCAAGAAATGGCTGTGAACAAGACATGGAAGCAACCGAAATGTCCATCAACAGATGAATGGATAAAGAAGATGTGGTGTATATATACACAATGGAATATCGCTCAGCCATAAAAAAAAGAATGAGGGCTTCCCTGGTGGCGCAGTGGTTGAGAGTCCGCCTGCCGATGCAGGGGACACGGGTTCGTGCCCCGGTCTGGGAAGATCCCATGTGCCGCGGAGCGGCTGGGCCCGTGAGCCATGGCCGCTGAGCCTGTGCGTCCGGAGCCTGTGCTCCGCAACGGGAGAGGCCACAACAGTGAGAGGCCCGCGTACTGAGGAAAAAAAAAAAAAAAAAGACATAAACCTATATTTGTTAGCATAGAAAAATGTCCATGATAATCTATTATGTAAAAAGCAGATCACAATACAATGTATATAGGTCATAGATAGTATGATCACATTTTCATTAAAAAATAATGAAAATATATTTAAAATTAAAACTTAAAATCCAGTGCTGGCTACAGTGTGATGAAATAAGCTTACACAGTTCGTACAACCTGATACAAAGTTTTTAGAAAGTTAATTTAGCAGTTATCAAAAATTTAAACATTGAAGAGTCGGTAATTCCCTGGTGGCACAGTGGTTAAGAATCTGCCTGGCAATGCAGGGGACACGGGTTCGAGCCCTGGTCCAGGAAGATCCCACATGCCGGGGAGCAACTAAGCCCGTGCGCCACAACTACTGAGCCCTAGCTCTAGAGCCCACGAGCCACAACTACTGAAGCCCGTGGGCCTAGAGACCGTGCCCTGCAGCAAGAGAAGCCACCGCAATGAGAAGCCCGCGCACCGAAATGAAGAGTAGCCCCCGCTGTCCGCAACTAGAGAAAGCCCGCACACAGCAAAGAAGACCCAACGCAGCCAAAAATATAGAGTTCCATAATTTTAAAAAGATATATGTACAAGGATGATCATAATATCAAAAAATTAGAAACGTGAACTAAGAATGCTGCCTGCCATATTGGTAAACAAAGGATGTTGCAGCCATCAAGCCCACAAGCCCAGACAGTGAGCCCTGAGGGAATTCAGGATGGAAACCAGGAATGCCCACAACCTAGCAGTCAACTGCTGCAGCCACGCACCCCGCAACGGTGCACGCTGAGGAGACTCAGGATGAGAAAACACAGAATACTGGCCCCAGATAGCTGAGGTGAATATCTAAGGAATGATTTCAGTGATCCAAGACTTTGCATCTTCCCATACATAGAAAAGTGCTAATTTTAGTAACCTGAGATGTCTGGCTTTCTTTAATTAACAATAATCTTTTGATGTTCCAACTTGTACCTGCCCTTGGTTGCAAAAACTCCTATATATCCTGGCTTCCCCCACGCCCACCTCTATGGAGCAGTCTCTCAGAGTTATCTGAGATGCTGTCTCCCAGGCTTGAAGTCCTCAGAATGTCTGCTAAATAAAACATAACTCTCAACTTTTGGATTGTGCATTTTTTTTCAGTCAACAGAAACAATCCAAATGCTCAGTAATTGGAGTTGATTAAATAAACTATGGTTCACATAAACAACTGACTATAATACTAAAAAGTGAGATAGATTCACATATACTGGCATAGAGATAGTAAAAAAATACATCGTTTAAAAAAGAAGCAAACTGAAAAGCAATATAATCAGTATTATACATGCAAAATAATAGTAGCGTTAGTATAAGTATGAAACACTAGGAGGCATTAGCAACAAAATGCTGACAATTATTATGGAGATGAGGGCCGGAAGGCCTGATGGAAGTTACGGTTTCCTTAACTCTCAAAGTTTTGTATTTCTGGAAGCTTTAAATTGTGTATAAAGAATGCTTATTAGTAATGTAATAAGAAAAAAATTATGCATTCGATAGATGTTAATAATCAGAACAATTAAACTGCCACATGGGCTGTTTCACTATCTAACCAGTCAAAAGTTTCCTCTCTAAGAAAGGTGTTTGTCTGCTCCCCCATGCCTGCAAGGCCTCTACTTGCCCAGCTTCAAGACCGAAGAAAGAGCCCGGAGTCAGCAACAGAGACATCAATGGTTTAATGGATAGGGGGAGCTTACCTGTCTGAATCAAGGTCCTAGAGTGACACCCCACTGTGTACGGCGGAGGGCGGGCAGGACACAGGGCAGTCTTTGCTCCCAGGGGCAGAGGGAGGTTAGCAATTATAGGGGTAAGTAACTACAGGTCGACTCATTACCAGGGAAACCAGCCGAGGGCCACGCCCCCTCGCCAGCCCTTTGCTAAGCTATCACTAGCTAGGGCCTGGGGCAAGTATGTAGGAAGGTCAGTCATGTCAGTCGGGTGTAGGTGAGGCAGGAACCGGTTAAGCAGGGGATGTATAGAGAGCAAGAGAACAGCTACCTCCAGCGGCCTAATCATACAGAAGGTTTTAAAAATACCAACTGCAAAAGGCTGGACATTTAACCTTCAACCCTTCCATTCACCTAATTAGCCATCATGAATCTTTCATCCACAAATACATTTGAAGGCCTTTGAAATCGATTCCTATTCAGACTCCAGTCTTCATAAACAGAAGTCAAGGTGATAGCTGCCCCAGAAATTTCAAAGAATCTGATAAAGCAGTCATTCAAATTCTTGTTTGTAGGTGGCCACCTGGTGGTCAGGGCAGCAATTCGCTGAAAAGGACAAAAGATGACTGAGTAGGAGTCCCCCCAGTCCAGAACCATATGGAATCAAACAGCGTGCGCCGACCAAGAAAGGAGGCACACACCTCGCTGACCACCTGCACAGCTGCCGGGTCTTGTTTCATCAGTAAAGTTTCGCCAAACTGCCAATCAGCGGCGACGCTGGACGTAGACGCGCTACGCTGTGACATCAGAACAAAGATGGCTGCTCCCTGAAGACTTTTTTCTCCTAGATGTTTGCCCTTCGCTCGTGTCAGGCTCGGAGTTAAAGACTCGGCCTTTCTCCAACCATGTTCTCCTTCCGAGGCTGTGGTCGCTGGGTCGCGGCTTCACTCACCAAACAGCACCATCCGTCTTCCCGGTTCAGCGGTGACAGCGCGGCGCCCTGGACTCCGCACTTCGACGTGGTAGTCATCGGCGGAGGACATGCGGGGACCGAAGCCGCTGCCGCCGCCGCTCGGTGCGGGTCCCGGACTCTGCTGCTCACGCACCGAGTGGACACCATCGGTGAGTAGCGCGGTGTGGGGCTTGCCTAGGACGCAAGCAGCCAGTGTCCTCCTCCGCCCCCTCCCAGTGCCTGGGATGTGGGCAACCTTTTCCCTCCCTTAAGGCTGGTGAGAATCCTGCCGACTGTGGTTTTAGCCTGATTTGTGTTTCGCAGATCAAGCGGGCCCGGGCCAGAGCTCTAAGACTAGGGGCTATTCTGTGGACCGTGGATTGAGCTGCTGCTGAAAAGTAATTAGTGGGGAGGGTGCGGGGGGCTGGGGGTTGGGGAGAGGGGGTGCCTTGAGAAAAGGGCAAACTGTAGGAATACTGGCTGATACCTTATTTCATTGTTGCCATTTGCCCTTTACTAGCTTGTTGCTTTGGTTAAAGAGTGAATTAGGACTTCCCTGGTGGCGCAGTGGTTAAAAATCTGCCTGCCCATGCAGGGGACACTGTTGGATCCCTGGTCTGGGAAGATCCCACATGCCGCGGAGCAACTAAGCCGGTGAGCCACAACTACTGAGCCCAAGTGCCACTGAACCTGCGCTCTGGCGCCCGTGAAACACAACTACTGAAGCCCCCGCGCCTAGAGCCCGTGCTCCGCAACAAGAGAAGCCACCGCAGTGAGAAGCCCGCGCACCGCAACTAGAGAAAGCCCATCCATGCGCAGCAACCAAGACCCAACGCAGCCAAAAATAAAAATGTATAAATAAATAAATTTATTTTTTTAAAAAGTGAATTAAAATTATTAGTACTCGTTTACTAAATGACCATTGTGTTTTTCTCGAGATTTTGTGAAGCCCTTTTGAAGAATGAGGGTACTTTTTTATTGCATTCTGTATTCCTACTGAATGTTTATTCCCCAGTTTTGTGCTTAGGACGACCCGACAGTGCTTTTATGCACTTACAGGCTGTGGTTGGACGGCCATAATTTAAACAAGACTCCTCTCTAGCATCATCTTAGATACTAGCTAGGACATTATCCTGTAAATTATGCATGCCTATGTCTTTCCTCTTGCATTTTGCTTAAGAGTGAATAGTAACTGAAATGTTAACTGTGCTTTGTGTAGTGAAATACTTTTTAAAACAACCATTCAGCTCATAACTGTGGAGAAATATGCACTGTTAACAGCGATTCTTTTGGAGAGAGGCTGTATGATCACCCAGGTAAAAACCAGGAATAACAATTTAAAAAATCTAATGAACAAAAAAGTATTGAACTAAGATGATCATTAAATAGTATAAGTAATGTAGTTCTGTCAAGGATAAAGGAATTCCCATCAAAACCCATATTCATTAAGTAGTCATTAATATCCTATAAAAATACCCATTGTATTTTTACCAATATAATATGACCTAAAGGTTCTTTTTAAATAAATAGATTTCAGAGATATTTTAATAACTCTTATATTAATAGATGAGCTTAATAAATGACAATTCTATCTTAAAATCAAAGTCTCATTTTTTTAAGGTAATTGGATGTAGTAGAGTATCAAGTATTTCTGTCCTCAGAAAGATAGCTTTGGCTGAGAAAGCTGAACTTCCATAAGAATACAGAATGCAGGAATTGTCCTCTTTCAATTCAATCATATCATATGCAAATAATGAAGTCAGAGACAGAAAATCTTTTATACTGACCTGGAAAATAATGCTTTTCGACAAACTATTTTTTGGCATTCATGACAAAAGAGAAAAGTCTTCTGACACTAAATCAGACACTGGCAAGTAGGATTACCATGATTACTTTAGATCAATAAAGGTTTACCCCTAAACTGAATTTAGGTCATACTGCCCAAACAATGCCTCATAGGGAATAGTGTTTACCTAAGTAAATAGTGATTCTGTGTCAAAGGAAGGAGGGAAATAATCTACTGCAGCTGTCATCCCTGATTTTAGAGTAGGGACGCTGAGGTACAGAATATTAGATAACTTGCCAAGAACACATGGAGCTTATAAGTGGTAAATCTAGGAACTGAGCCAGATCTCTTGCTCACTCCTAACCCATGCTCCTAATCACAGCACGATTCAGCCTCCCTCTGGAGACCATGAAAACTTTTGGAGGGCTTGTAGCTGGCCACAGTGGATCAGCAGATTGTTGACATAGCTTTCCCACTCTCTACCTCCCATAAGACTTGGGGGATTTAAAGAGAAGGTATAAAATGTGAATTCTACTTTCAGGAAGCTTATAATTTAATTACTTCTGCAAAATAAGCATAAAGAAAACAGCAGATGGCATTTATGGAAGACATACTTGATTATAACTGTGAACCAGTGCAAAGGGACTTCTTAAAATTATGCTTGATTTAGGAAGGTTTCCTGAGGTAAGAATTTCAAGGTCACATTGAAAAGGAAGAAGAAAAGGCAACGTAATGAATGTGTACAAGGGAAAGATTCAAAAGAAACTTTCAACAATGGCTTGTCTTCCAGGATGCCCTGCATAACTTTTTCTCTTTATAAATTTTATTTATTTTGGGCTGTGTTGGGTCTTTGTTGCTGCGCGCAGGCCTTCTCCAGTTGCAGAGAGTGGGGGCTACTCTTCCTTGTGGTGCACGGGCTTCTCGTTGTGGTGGCTTCTCTTGTTGCAGAGCACGGCTCTAGGCGCGCGGGCTTCAGTAGTTGTGCCTTGCAGGCTCTAGAGCACAGGCTCAGTAGTTGTGGTGCACGGACTTAGTTGCTCTGCGGCACGTGGGATCTTCCCAGACCAGGGCTCGAATGCAGGGGGATTCTTAACCACTGTGCCACCAGGAAGTCCCACCCTGAATAACTCTTGCATCCTGTTGGAACTCCAGCATTTTTAGTGTTTGCTTCAAGTTCTTTTATTTTATCAAGACTCACTATATGCAAGATACTAATATATTTATTTTGTTTATGTCCGTTCTCTTTAGGTCAGATGTCCTGTAATCCTTCCTTTGGTGGCATTGGAAAGGGGCATTTAATGAGAGAAGTTGATGCCTTGGATGGCCTGTGTTCTCGAATCTGTGACCAGTCTGGTGTACATTACAAAGTATTAAACCGGCGCAAGGGACCAGCTGTTTGGGGTCTGAGAGCTCAAATTGATAGGAAACTTTATAAACAGAACATGCAGGTAAGAACAGGGCATGAAAACAGGAAAGATTGTAGTGATTGTTTAACTGTTATGTTTCAGCTTGCTTTCTGTTTTGACAGAAAGAAATCCTAAATACACCGCTGCTTACCGTTCAGGAGGGAGCTGTAGAAGATCTCATTCTTGCAGAACCAGAGCCTGAGCACACTGGGAAATATCGCGTCAGTGGTGTTGTTTTGGGTATGTACTGCTTATAGATGATAATAATAGTATCAAACTCCATGTGAGAAATTGATTTTGAGCAGAGTATGGAGAGGTTTTGCTTATTCTAGGAAATTGTTGTGTTTTCTGTTCATACATGAGGAAAACTGTATAAAAAATCATACTTCTCCTTTCATTTTGACAACGAGGCTCACATTCTGTACCATCTTATTTTGGGACTCTGTAGCCTGCATAATTGTGTATTTTCCTCCTGGTGTTTCTTATTTCTGACTTTAAATATTTAAAATTTATATTTTACAGGATTATTATATATGTTTTTTATTTGACTTTTGTATTAATTTTTAAATTAAAATAACACATGCATGTAATTTTTACAAAAATCAAATAGAATTTAAATTTGTATGTAAAAACAATTTCTATTATCTCCCTCTACAGACTTAACCACTTAAAACAGTGATGGGAAGACTTGTGTGTGCACAGTTAATTTTATTGCTTGGGCAACTCTATAGTCTGGTGATTAGGGATTGAACTGGCCTTTTTGTTGGGAACTCCCAAACATCTGTGTCTCTTAGTCCTCAGGCGAAGAATCCATCTTCTGCCAGGGGACTGGACTGTTGGCGCCTGCTAGCATTCTAGGAACAAAATGGTAGGAGGGGCTGTGCTGAAGACTCTCAATCATTTAAAATACAGAGATTAACTTATTTTCCCTGTTTTAAAATTAATTTTTATTATACATTTATTAGTTTTTTTTGAATGGGGAATACATATAACGGCAAACGGTTTAAAGGAGATGAAAGAAGGTAGAATGAAAAGGTGGACTGTCATCTTGTGCCCCAGGCAGCCAGTTTCCTTCCTCGGGAGTATTGCTCGTCTCTGGTGTGATCTTTCTGTGTGTGTGTTTATATTTCCCCCCAACACACATAGCAGTGGCATATTGTACACACTATTCTGTACTTTATTTTTCTTTCCAACCACTTAATCCTGTGTTTGGTTTCCTTTGCTTTAGGGAGCTATGTTTCTTTCTTAAAAGTTCATGTTTTTGTTCTGTATATTACCTTAGTAACTATGATTTTGTATAATATACTTAATCTTCTCTTTCTTCTGTCAGTGTTTACTGACTTCCCTCTGTTGAACAGTTACTAGTTTTATTTTCATTTCCCCTTCTCTCCCCTGCGTCCTTTCCCCTCCAGATTTGATGATTATATTGTTTGATTAGTGTAAGGTAGATCTGTCTGCAGGCAAACCTTCATATGCAGATTTCAACTCTTTCTCTCATTTTCCACCCCCTAGCTTCATTCCTACATTTCTTATATTCAGTCCTCCAGTTTCTGAGCCTTTGCACGGCAAGTTGCTTCATTGTCATCAGTATGTTCTCTTGAGGTTCTTGAGTTAAGGCCTTCTCCCCTCTGCTAAATCAGTTATCACTCTTCCAACCACTTTTTTTAAATTTAATTTTATATTGGAGTATAGTTGATTTACAATATTGTGTTAGTTTTAGGGGTACAGCAAAGTGATTCAGTTATACATATACATATATCCATTCTTTTTCAGATTCTTTTCCCCTGTAGGTTATTACAGAATATTGAGTAGAGTTCCATGTGCTATACTATACAGTAGGTCCTTGTTGATTATCTAGTTTATATGTAGTGTGAATATATTAATCCCAAACTCCCTCCCCACTGCAACCGCTTTCTATCTTCTGAAAATATTTTGAAATTTCTCATCTTTTGACAAATTCTTTCCCATTACTTGTCCTGTGGTTTTATATCTTTTTTGCCCCTTTATTTCATTTTCTTGGAGTTTCAAGAGGGAGAAGAAATCATGTGAGGTGGTCTGTCATATTTAACCAGAAGTCTAAAATTAATTAATTTAAAAAATTAACTGAGAACAACAAAAAGTGCGTGGGAGCTGGGCGGGTGCGCGGACGCCGGGGCCAGGCCCCGCTGCGCCCCGCCGCGTCCCGCCGCTCGGGGGGCATGTCTCACAGCCCGAACTTGACCGCGCACATGCCCGCCGCCTCCGTCAGCGCCTCTGGGAGCGTCCACCCGCCCTCCACCAGTATGGCGACGTCTTCCCAGTACCGCCAGCTGCTGAGTGACTACGGGCCACCATCTCTGAGCTCCGCCCAGGAAACTGGGAAGAGCCCGGTGCCCCAGAGCAAATACGCGGAGCTGCTGGCCATCATCGCAGAGCTGGGGAGAGAGGTCAGACCCCTCTCCGCGGGCAGCTGGAGCGCGATGGAGACCCTGAAACGCGGCATCATCCACGCACGAGGGTTGGTGCGGGAGTGCTTGGCAGAAACGGAACGGAAGGCCGGGTCCTAGCTGCGTCGTGAGCCTGGAAGGTTTTCTGTCTTCTTCCGAGAGGAGAAGTTACAGTAGTTCCTCTCCCGTTAGGATGAAACTTTGCTTTCAAAATGGTAACAGTTTTGTTTCTCCTCCCCCCGCGCCTCTCCCGTGGTTCACCAGGCTCCGAATCTACAGCCTGTAAGATTGAGGAAAGATTTTGTGGTTGTTGGGGAGTTACATTTTAACATCTTTTTTTTTTTTTTTTTTTTTGCGGTACGCGGGCCGCTCACTGCTGTGGCCTCTCCCGTTGCAGAGCACAGGCTCCGGACACGCAGGCCCAGCGGCCATGGCTCACGGGCCCAGCCTCTCCGCGGCATGTGGGATCTTCCCGGACCGGGGGCACAAACCCGTGTCCCGAACCCGTGTCCCCTGCATCGGCAGGCGTACTCTCAACCACTGCGCCACCAGGGAAGCCCAATGGGGAGTTACATTTTAAATAGTGAGGAACTACCCAGGTGTTTGTTGTTGTTTCTCAAAGCATTGATTCAAAAGAGGCACGTAAAAATTACCTGTCTTACAGCAAACTAGTTTGCCTCCAAGATACCAGTGTCTCATTCTCCTCTTTTGAATACATTTATGTTACCCGCATTGTTCTTTGTTCCTTTTCGTAAGCTGATACAACTCGAAGGGGTTTTTTTTGTAGTGCGGACTTGACAGCACACTTAACTAGTAGCTGGTCCCCTCGTTTCCCATACACTATAGATTCTGCTTAATGTAATTTCTTTTTTGCTTAAGCATTTGCATGACTATTAGTGCTTTGAAGTCAATTTTAAAACCCAATTTTAGAAGCCAGAACCACCTAAATGGTCTTGTCAAAAGACTGAACCTGAGGGCTTCCCTGGTGGCGCAGTGGTTGAGAGTCCGCCTGCCGATTCAGGGGACACAGGTTCGTGCCCCGGTCCGGGAAGATCCCACATGCCGCGGAGCTGCTAGGCCCGTGAGCCATGGCCGCTGAGCCTGCATGTCCGGAGCCTGTGCTCCGCAACGGGAGAGGCCACAACAGTGAGAGGCCCGCGTACCGCAAAAAAAAAAAAAAAAAAAAAAAATACACAAGTTATAAATACAGAAGAAAGAGCAACCTCCCAAACCAAACCTAACAAGGATCCCAAAATTTTTTCTGAGACTGTATGTAGATTTCAGTTCTGCCTTTCCTGTAAGTTGATCCAAACATCTGGAAGAAAATGGAACTGTTTGCATCTTTTTATTTATTACTCGATGTAATAAGGCTTATTTTCATTAACAGCTTGTAAAAAAAAAAAAAAATTATCTGAGACTATTCAGTGCTGACAAGGTTTTAGGAACATGTGTATCGGTGAGAATACATTATGCTCTCCATCCCAGCTTTCTCGGATTCTTGAGATTGATAACATATAGGCTTCTTACTGATTTAAAATCTTTTTCAAGTTTCTGAAGACAAAATTTTTCCGTAGTTTTACTACAAAATAGTCACGTTCCAATTTGATCCATGGTAACAATTAGAACCTGAGTTTTATTTTGTTTCCTATCCTTTAGTGAATGGAAGTACAGTGTATGCGGAGAGTGTGGTTCTAACTACTGGGACGTTTCTGAGAGGCATGATTGTAATTGGATTGGAGATGCATCCAGCAGGACGTTTAGGGGATCAGCCTTCCATAGGGTTGGCTCAGACTCTGGAGAAGTTGGGGTTTGTGGTGGGAAGATTGAAGACTGGGACTCCGCCCCGGATCGCCAAAGAATCCATTAATTTCAGCATTCTAAACAAGCAGACACCAGATAATCCATCCATACCGTTCAGCTTTATCAATGAGACAGTGTGGATCAAGGTGAGATCATTTATGAAAATCTGGCTTTAAACAGAGGATATAGACTAACCTTTTTTTTCTTTCTTTTTTTTTTTGATAGCAATTCACTTTTCTTCACTATTAGTGTGCAAAAAAGGGATCTTTAAAAGGATTAGCTGATTTGGCTACTTGGGTATTTCCCCATAAATTCTTAAATTTCATTACTTTGATAACTTTGCCTATTTAAACTTTTTGAAATAGTTTCAGAAAAGTTGTAAGACTGTGAAACTCCTATAAACCATTGAAATTCACCCATTGTTAATATTTTGCCCTCTCTCCATATATAGAGACATAGATACATGTATATATTTAATGTATAAAACAGTAATATACACATTTATTTATTTTAAATTTATTTATTTTTGGTTGCATTGGGTCTTTGTTGCTGCGCACGGGCTTGCTCTAGTTGCGGCGAGCGGGGGCTACTCTTTGTTGAGGTGTGCGGGTTTCTCATTGCGGTGGCTTCTCGTTGCAGAGCACGGGCTCTAGGGTGCGCGAGCTCAGTAGTTGTGGCACACGGGCTGAGTTGCTCCGCGGCATGTGGGATCTTCCCGGATCAGGGCACGAACCCGTGTCCCCTGCATCGGCAGGCGGATTCTTAACCACTGCGCCACCAGGGGAGCCCCCCACATTTATTTTTACTCTTTTTTCTTTTCCAGAAACATTTAAAAGTTACAGAGATTATGACCCTTTACCTCAAAATACTTCAGTCTGCATCTCAACTAAGCTCAAAGACATCCTCTTTTTTTTTTTTTTAATAGACATCCTCTTTTATAACCTCAGTGCAGTGATGAAATTTGGGGAATTTAACATTGACACAGTGCTGTTATCTAATACAAAATCCATAGATTTTGTTGATTGTCCCAATACTTTTTTGTCCCAACATTTTTTTTTTCCAATCTAGGATCACATATTGCATTTAATTGTCATTTCTCTTTAATCTGGAACAGTTCCTCAGTCTTTTTTTTTTAAATAAATTTATTTATTCATTTATTTTTGTCTGCGTTGGGTCTTCGTTGCTGCACACAGGTTTTCTTTAGTTGCAGCGAGCAAGGGCTACTCTTCGTTGCAGTGCACGGGCTTCATATTGCAGTGGCTTCTCTTGTGGAGCACGGGCTCTTGGCGTGCGGGATTAAGTAGTTGTGGCTCGCGGGCTTCAGTAGTTGTGGCTCATGGGCTCTAGAGCGCAGGTTCAGTAGTGGCGCACGGACTTAGTTGCTCCGCGGCATGTGGGATCTTCCCGGAACAGGGCTCGAACCCATGTCCCCTGCACAGGCAGGCGGATTCTTAACCACTGCGCCGCCAGGGAAGTCCCAGTTCCTCAGTCTTTAATGGCACTGATACTTTTGAAGATACAGGCTACTTCTACCTATCCTTTGAATTTAAAACACAAAAAAATGTATATTTTGTGTTTAGAATTAAGGGCTAATATTTGATGGTCCTAGTTTCTGGTGAGTGTTACCCTGATGAGTGGCTCCAAGTGTTATTTTGAGCAAGTGACTTTTATATTTTCACTTTGGTAAAATGTAAATCATGATGATACTTTCCTAGTGTGTATATTTTTAAACTTTTTTTTTTGTTGTTTCTGTTTTTGCATTACGCAGGCCTCTCACTGTTGTGGCCTCTCCCGTTGCGGAGCACAGGCTCCGGACGTGCAGGCTCAGCGGCCATGGCTCACAGGCCTAGCCTAGCTGCTCCGCGGCATGTGGGATCTTCCCGGACCAGGGCACGAACCCGTGTCCCCTGCATCGGCAGGCAGACTCTCAACCACTGCGCCACCAGGGAAGCCCAAACTTTTTGTTTTTTAGTTTTATATTTTATTTTTGGCCACGCCACACAGCGTGTGGGATCTCAGTTCCCTGACCGGGGATTGAACCCGTGCCTCCTGCAGTGGCAGTGTGGAGTCCTAACCACTGGACCACTAAGGAATTCCCTGTTTTGACATTCCTGGTTCACTTTCCTCAATACTTTGTTCTTGATTAGTTTTAAAGCAACAATCCCAGACATCACATCATTTCACTCAGATACACTTTGGTACATGTCTTTAACAAATAAGGACTTTGTAAAAATCGACACAGTACTATTATCACACGTAGCAGAACATAGTTTCTTAACATCGTCTGATATTCAGTGCTCAGTTTTCCCTAGTTTTTATAGTTGTTTTTAAATGTTTATTTTAAATGTTTTTTTTTTACAGTTGTTTTATTTGAACCAAGAACCAAATGACTTTGGACTTTGGATAATATGCTTATAATAGTTCCCCTCTTTTTTTTTTTTTTTTTTTACATTTATATGTGGAAGAAACCGAGTCATTTCTTTTCTGAAGTTTCCTACATTCTAGATTTGTCTGATTTCAACCCTCTGGTGCCTTAAACATGTTCCTGCATCCTCTGTATTTCCCGTAAACTGTTGATCTGGAGGCTTGCGAAAATTTAGGCTCATCTTTTGGGTTGTTTTTAACAAGCATACTTCACCATTAGCATTTGGCATTGTGCATAGATTTAATATCTATAAAAGTAAGTGCATATCGTGTGTGGCATTTATTTGAATGAGAGGCAAACTAATAGAGAGGCAAAACAATGTTGTAACTAGTTCCTGTGTTTTAGCCAGAAGATCAGCTGCCATGTTACTTGACTCACACCAACCCTCAAGTGGATGAGATTGTCCTTGAGAACCTTCACCTTAACTGTCACATTAAGGAAACTACAAAAGGACCCCGGTAAGGACAAAATATCAGTGCTCAATTACTGTAAGGAACAATGTCAACCCTCTTTTGTTTGTTTCATTAAATTTTTAAATTTCAATGTCCTTTTCTAGATACTGTCCCTCCATTGAATCAAAGGTTTTGCGCTTTCCAAACCGTCTGCATCAGGTTTGGTTGGAACCTGAAGGAATGGATTCTGACCTCATCTACCCGCAAGGGTTATCTGTGACACTGCCAGCTGAATTACAAGAGAAAATGATCACGTGCATCAGAGGCTTGGAGAAAGCTAAAATGATTCAGCCAGGTAAAGAGAATGCCAGCTGCCCTTCAGTCTGAGCTCAGCACTGCTTAGCAGACGGTGAGGAGATCTTAGCCACAGTCATGATTGCTTAGAGCCTCAGAACACAAAGCCCAACATCTGTGCATTTAAAATAGTCTTCGTTTTTAAAGAGCATTTAATGATAATCTTTGCATCTCTACCTTGAGGCAAATCCAGCACTGTTTTTATTATTTTTTACCATTTATTCTTTGGCCAGGCTATGGTGTTCAGTATGATTACTTGGACCCCCGTCAGATCACTCCTTCTCTCGAGACTCATTTGGTGCAGCGGCTCTTCTTTGCTGGACAGATAAATGGCACTACTGGTTATGAGGAAGCTGCAGCTCAAGTAAGAGGTTGTTCAGATGTTACTGAACAGAAAAGGACTATTTAACTGGTGTTCCTCCTCTTGATGTCTGTTATGATAGCTGTATAGAGCTTAGATACAACTCAGAACTACAATAGAAGACTTACTCTGTTTCAGAGTCTACAACAGGATTTTAAAACCACTGTGCCTTTATTACTCTTTTCTGAGCTCCTAGATCCAATAGCATATTTCGATTAGATTTATTATATTGCTTCTGAAATTTAAAAAAAAAGAAAATTTAGTTCTTTTAAACTAACTTTATTGAAAATTACCCTATTATTATTCCTTTTTTTTTTTTTTTGCGGTACGCGGGCCTCTCACTGTTGTGGCTTCTCCCGTTGTGGAGGACAGGCTCCGGACGTGCATGCTCAGCAGCCATGGCTCACGGGCCCAGCCGCTCCACGGCACGTGGGGTCTTCCCGGACCGGGGCATGAACCCGTGTCCCCTGCATCGGCAGGTGGACTCTCAACCACTGCGCCACCAGGGAAGCCCTATTATTCCTTTTTAAGCAGAAAGCTATGTCATTGTTACTTGTAAGTAGGAAAAGGCTAAAAAAAGTCTTACAAGTGGATTTTTAAAAAAAAGATTAGCCCACCTAGGTTTATTAGGAATATTAGATATTTTTTAAAACAATGAATCATAGCATTCTAAACTGGTACATTACCCATATTCTGTTTCTGAATATGGACCACATTTTCTGTCTTTGTTCTATCCCTGCTGGGCAGGGCCTGCTTTCTCACTTCCTGAGCCATTTTTTCCAGGTAGTATCTGAATAGGATAGCTCTTTGTTCAGTTCATAATGGCCTTTTAAACATTTCAGTCCTCTTGTAGGGTGTGATAGCTGGAATCAATGCAAGTCTTCGGGTCAGACACAAGCCTCCTTTTGTCATTAGCCGAACAGAAGGCTACATAGGAGTCCTGATTGATGACCTCACCACGCTGGGTACCAACGAACCATACCGCATGTTTACCAGCCGAGCTGAGTTCCGCTTGTCATTGCGTCCTGATAACGCCGACAGCAGGCTCACGTTCCGAGGTAACTCTTCACTGAGTCTTGCAACCAGATTTCCTCTCCTTTAAGACCTCTTTCATTATAGTCTCTCCCTCCCTCTTCTAGGGTACAAGGAAGCTGGTTGTGTGTCCCAACAACGATATGAAAGAGCTACTTGGATGAAGTCTTCTTTAGAAGAAGGCATTTCTGTGCTAAAATCCATTGAGTTTCCAAGTTCTAAATGGAAAAACTTAATCCCAGAGGCTTCTATAAGTATTGGTAAAAGTCTACCTCTCAGGTATGCATTTTTAATGTAGACCTTTCTTACTGTTTTTTTTTTGCGGTACGCAGGCCTCTCAGTGTTGTGGCCTCTCCCGTTGCGGAGCACAGGCTCAGCGGCCATGGCTCACGGGCCCAGCTGCTCCGCGGCATGTGGGATCTTCCCGGACCGGGGCACGAACCCGTGTCCCCTGCATCGGCAGGCGGACTCTCAACCACTGTGCCACCAGGGAAGCGCCTTTCTTACTTTTTAAAGAAAAATGAAATCATTTCAGAGAGATATTACCTATAAATTCCCTACCTGCACGTTTTAAATGAATGCAGCTATTACATTTGCTTCTTTTCAGGATCCTTTAGATGTAACTTATCTCTTTATTCATTAATGATAGTATATACGATTCTAAATTATTTTCATTTTTTATTTAATTTCTCTGTGGCTCCCACTGAGTTCTTCTGGCTTGCCTAAGATTTAGGGGGTACAAACCAAGAAATAGAGTGATCTGCTTTCTTTTTTAGGCAGGGAGCAATTGGAGTGGTCTCATCTTGCCTGTGAGGTATAGCAGGGAAACTTTGATTAAGCATAGTGTTATAAATTCTTTGGACTTAATTGAAGAGTCCCTTGCTACATTTTAGGGTTTTGTCCTTGTTTTTACCATTCTGGTTATATGGACTCTAAGTCTAAAGGGCATTAATATAGAGCTTTTTTGCTTCAGAGGTATGTTCCTAAAAACCTTGCATAATTCAAAATCTGCGTCTTTCACCACTGCTTTTTCCCATTTAAAAAATGTAAGCTAATCGGGGGTGTGGGATGCTCAGAAGGCATAAATCTACAATCATCGTATCTTAGAAGCACACATGCTGGCTTGATCTTGCAACTGTGTCTCCAGTATGTTTTTCCTTTATAGTTTTCCTTTATTTCCAACCCCTGTTTTCCTTGTGAGGGATTCTGTGAACTTAAAGGTATACCCATTTTAATGCTACTTTTTATTATCTCTAATCTTTCCAAGTGCTCTCCCCTTAACTAACAGCCAGACATAGCATGCCTTTGTTTGGCTTTCATGTCATCACAGTGTTTTATTGTTTACAATTTCTGTTCCCAGATTTTCATTTTCACGGGAATTTCCCAAAGCACCGGCACCATGGTTAGAGGATAGTAAGCAGGTTTTTAGTTATAGTAATAGTAAGTAATAAATAACCTGTGTAGTAGTCACCCAAACCAGGGGATCTCATTCACAGGAAAGACAGCCTGGTTCACAAATAAGGGTGCTGGATGTATTTGTTTACCAGCTAAGTGGTACCGGGAGATGGTAGTAGTATAAACATAGTTTTATAATTCGCTCAGTTGTCCAGCTATTTGTTTGTGTAAATTTAAGAGGGTTCACATTATTTCAAACTTTGCAAAAGAATTTATAACATTATGCTTTGTTTAGATCAAATATTGCACTATTTCAAATTTTGTATAATTAGAATTTACATTCAATGTGACTAACGTGGATTGAGGTCATAGTGAGAGCATGGGAAGTGATTTTTTTCAACACAGTTTAAAATGCGAATTGATGAATAAAAATATGAAAAAGGAGGCTGTCAGTTTTATGTTTTTACCTAACTAATCCCATGAGTAGCCATTTTGTTAAGGTGATACTTTTAAAAACCAGTAATTTGGCCAAATGCTTTCCTTGTTTATTCAGGTGTCTTTCATTTCAGAAGGAAGTGGTGACAGTGACCGGGCCTCATTTGATTTCAGCAGAATATTTATAGTCTAGGGTTCAGCCTCCCTAAAAGAACCCACTTTATCAGTTCCTAGATATGTAAAGCTAAAAAGAAACTTGGGCAAAGGACATGTGTTGCATCTACGGCACACGTGGTGGGCTCTGTGCCGGCCTGAGAAGTTGAACTGGACTTCGAGCTGGCATTTTGACAGAAGAGATCCACAGGTGCATGTGCATACACATCTCCTGTCATGATTACAGGGAAACGCATTGACCTGCCAGGTAGCGCAGAAGCTGTCTCTTGTGTTCTGTGGAAGTGTGCTAGCTTGTCCTTCTGTGCCAGACCTCTGCACTCTGAGGCTTAGGCTTCATTCAAAGCTGGTCTTGAAGTTTGGGCCTGCAAACAGCTCCAAGCCTTATAAACAAATTATTTAAAACCTTTTTAAAAGTTAAATGGTCACAGGCTTTTCTTTGAGGTCACTATCCTGCAAGATTCCATGGTAGCTGTTTTTTCAGTTAGTCGTTAGGAGGTGTGTTCCAGCATGTTCTATCATTTCTGAAAGGACAACCCCTTTCCTTTCGGAGTTTAGGGTTATTTGGTTTCATTCTAGCTTATCTGATGAGGCCTCTGAAATTAGTTGACATAATTCATCTCGTGGAGCACAACAAAGTTGACAGCTCCTTGTGGAGAGAGGGTCTAGCCTTTCCTAGGCCGTCTGAGGAAGAGATGAGTCAGGCATCTGTAGAGGGTGGTGAGGCATGACCCTGGTGATAGGATGAGCTGTAAAGAAGGCATCTGGGAGGCCTGGAAGAACTTGGGACCCAAGGATGGGCAGAGCTCACTTTCTGTTGCCTAGATAATTAATTGGTTTAATTGGTTTTGGGTGGACAGAGTTGATCAAAAAAGCAATCTATTAAAAGAGGGAAAGATCAACGTAAACAAAAATAAAATTAAGGGAAACTGTACAGATCAGTGAGGCCTTGTGAGAACCAAACAAAATGAGAAGGAAACAGTGGATATTTTGCAGTCTTGGAGAGCAAGCCAGGAGATCTTCAGCTGGTTCCGAGCACACGTGCAAACACATTCACAGGACGTGGGCTTAATGTGACTTAGATGTAAATTCTTGTGGAGTTCAATCAAACGCTTGTTATCAGAGGATATTCTGTCCTTACAAGAAAGGGAGGACAAGTAGATTATTGCAGTGCTACCAGCAACTTATCCCTCATGATAAAGGAAGGGAGTTGAGGAGAATCACATGCTAATCTTCTTGAGGTCCTACTGTGTTGCAGTTGCTGCTGCGTTTGCTCACTGTACTTGGGAAGAATTAGAAATATATTGATATTATTTATTCTGAGATTTGTATTATTTTCAGGGTATCTTGTTCTTAATCTGCTTGATATAATATGGACCCCTGTGTTAATGAAACTTTTATGTATTTGTAGAGCTCTCGATGTTCTGAAGTATGAGGAAGTTGACATAGAGTTGTTGTCCAAGGCTGTTCCAGAGCCCTTGAGGAAGTACACCAAATGTAGAGAGCTAGCCGAAAGACTGAAAATAGAAGGTAGAAAATACTTTTTTACTTAGGATGTCTGTATGTTCTCCTTCCCTTTCGTGCAAATTGTGAATGGATGGCAGATCCACAAAGAGCTCTCTGTCAAGAGGAGCCATTATTACCATAGGACCAGCATCATCTTAGGCTCTAACCACTCAGAGTGGGGTTCCCAGATAGCATTGCAACATGTGGGGGCATGCTAGGGATGCAAAATCTCAGGCTCCACCCCAGACCCACTGAGTGAGCATCTGCTTTTTAACAAGATCCCTCCATGATTTGTGTGTATATTTCATGTTTGGGAAGTGCTACTGTAGAGCTCTCCTTTAAAAAAAACAACAAAACCCCCCCTTTTTTTTTCTTTTGAACTTTTTTTTTAACATTCCCCCCACCCTTTTTCTTTAGATTTTTTTTTCCCTCCTCCACCCTGCTGCTAAATTATAAGATCTAACGCAAACGTGATCAAGGTGTGTTCCAGACTTGTAAACTTGCCTGTTGTAAGAAAGTAATCTTTATTATTTTTTTATATTTATTAATTAATTTATTATTAATTCACTTATTTTGGCTGCACCAGGTCTTAGTTGTGGCATGCGGGATCTCTAGTTGCAGCATGTGGAATTCTTTAGTTGCAGCATGTGAACTCTAAGTTGCGGCATGCATGCGGGATCTAGTTACCCAACCAGGGATCGAACCCGGGCCCCCTGCATTGGGAGTGCAGTGTCTTACCCACTGGACCACCAGGGTAGTCCCTACATTTTCCCCATTTTAATGTTCTAATAATGAGAAAAATAATGCTATCTTTGGCTTTGACAATATATTGAAATACTCTTCCATTAACAAATACTTACTTTGTATCAGGCAAAGAAATCCACAGTCTGCCCTTGTACATTATTATAACATTTGGTGTGCTCTCATACTCTTTGTCAATATATTGACCATCAAGGTCACATGTGACTTTTGGAGTTGCACTGAATTCTTTTAAAGTTTTTCTTTATTTAAAAAAATTTCAAAGATAAACAAATATTGAGAATAACATTAGCTTCTGCATTGTGATAGATTTTTTTCCTCCAGTGGAAAATTATGTGGAGAAAAAGGCAGGGAACAGAATGAGATGGGGGAGAAGGGTAGGAAAAGCAGGATAATGATGGATTGTTCAAACAGGAAAGGACTTCAGGCTCCTTGGGGACCAGCGAAGGTGGTAAGAATGCTGCATTCCTTCTAGCAGTGATAATTTTCTTTCAGTTCCAGAGAGGTCACCTTGCTGTACTTTGGCTGCATATATAGGATGACCCAAGCTCTACCTATCATTCTTCCAAATGACCAGACCCTAGTCATTTGCTAATGTGTAAGAAATATTGTTAACCTTTTATCTCAACACCATGACCTTTCTATTGAGTAAAAATTACTTTATTGAACATTTAGGCTGTTAGCATCTGGCTGTTATACTTTAAACTTGGTTTGCAGTTTTGTTTTGTCCAATAAGTCATCCAGAATAATTATCTTTAACTTGTTTATAGGAAACCCTGACTTCAGCCACGGAGTAGCTACTGTTTTGCCTTGTTCTTTAAAGACTCTGGCATATATATAGAGTCTAATTTCTATCCATGGCTTAAAAGAAACTACACTAAGTTAAAAAGTAACACATATCAGTGGTTTTCAAATCACTGCCTTGGATCCTCCACTAGACAAGTTTCTTCAAGAAACTGCGAGGCAGAAATTAGTTTGATTCTTTTTTATAGTTATCTCTCATGTTTTGCTGTATACATATTTGAAAGATTAAATATGTCTTTAGCATATACATTACCTCTTCATTTATATTCTGTGATCCTATAAAGAGTCTATTCATGAGTCATAAAATTTCATTCCAATTTGTTGTACTAATTTGTTATATATTGTATTAATCACATGCCTTATTTCATTTGATACTTGAAAGTGTCCTATGAAGGATAGCTACTAGCATTATGTCTTAATTTTAGAGATAAGTAAGTGATAACTTGCCCAGCATCACACAATTGGTGAGTGGCAGAGCTGGGATTTGAACCTAGCATGTCTGACTATGAGGCCTGTGCACCTCGCAACTATCCTTTGTTGTCATAAAGACCATCATAAGTCCTCCGGGTCATCCCTTAACATTTCTAGATAAAGCAGCTGAGGCCCAGAAGGATAATGATGTGTCCATAGTTAGAGGGTAGTTTACTGGCAGAGCCAGGCTCAGAGCTGAGATTTTCTGGCTGCCAGTCGAGTGATGGAAGCAGATACTGCCAGAACCTTTAGGGAAGACTTGCTTTCTTAAACAGGACAGAATGACCACCTCAATTTAGGTTTTAAAACAGGTTTTGGATTTACTTTTCTAAGAACAGAATGCTTTAATTACAAAATAATTGCTGAATTATCTTCCTGACTTCTGAATAACACCTTAAATTATTTAAATTACGTTATCACCTAAGAAGATCTTCTTTTTTAAATTATAGCTTTATATGGACATAATTTAGAAAACCATCTTCTTGGAGAAACGTCTTTTTAAAAAATATTTATTTATTTATTTATTTATGGCTGTGTTGGGTCTTTGTTGCTGCGTGCGGGCTTTCTCTAGTTGTGGCGAGCGGGGGCTACTCTTAGTTGCGGTGCGCGGACTTCTCATTGCGGTGGCTCCTCTTGTTGCGGAGCACGGGCTGTAGGCGCATGGGCTTCAGTAGTTGTGGCTCACGGGCTCTAGAGCGCAGGCTCAGTAGTTGTGGCTCACGGGCTTAGTTGCTCCACGACCTGTGGGATCTTCCCGGACCAGGGCTCGAACCCGTGTCCCCTGCATTGGCAGGCGGATTCTTAACCACTGCACCACCAGGGAAGCCCTTGGAGAAACATCTTTAGGACTTAAAATTCAAACCTACGGCCTATTGAAGGAAACGTTCCACCAAAATTTGTACTGAGAAGGAAAGCAATTTCTTTTTTTACTTTTAATTTTCTAGATTTTTGAAATGAAAAGAACATGGAATAAACTACCATACAGAATGTTGTAGTTAATACGCAAGATACTCCCTCTCTTTATTTTAGCCTCAATGTCCTCATCTGTGAAAGGGAACACCTACGCCACCTGTCTCATGGTACTGAGATCATGTATGCAAAAGCTCTCTAAATTGTAAAAAACTAAAAATGTAAGTTGTTAATGTAATCTGCATATCATAATTAATTTTGTTCACCAGCCACATATGAATCAGTATTGTTCCATCAGCAACAAGAAATAAAGGAAGTTCAGCGAGATGAAGCTCTCCAACTGCCAAAAGACCTAGATTATTTGACTCTCAGGGATGTGTCTTTGTCCCATGAAGTTCGAGAGAAGCTACATTTCAGTCGCCCACAGACGGTAAGAAAACAGGCAGTGGATAGGAACGGTTTATAAAGAGCCAGAGCTTTAATTTTTAAAACCTGGATTTACAGTGGCCACATAACTAACTTTTATTTCATCATAAAAAGCTTAATCTCTTATTTTCATATTCTCTTTGTATGACAGATGTCAGTATGTTTTTATGAGATGAAAAAGCTTAGTCTAAATAAGTAACTGGAAGTCAAGAATTGGGTTGATTATAATTATCCTCTAGTCCCAACCTTGCGCTAAACTGTCAGTGCAAACTTGTATATATGCATGACTTAAAAGAAACTACTTTAGGTTAAAATAGAATATATATCAGTAGTTTTCAAATCATTACTTGGATCCCCGCCCTAGGGATTCCATAGTGGTGTGTTGGGAGCCACTAGGAGGAATAAGGGGGCCAAAGAGGCCCCCCACCCCATGCTCCTGCTTGTGTGCGTGTGTGTGTCTATGTGTGTTTTGCATTTGCGTGAGTGCATGTGCACCCAGCTGTAAACATCTGGTAAAAACTTTATAGTATATAATATTGGACTTGTAACAAGAAATATTTAAAGACTGGTAGGCTGTATTTATTGATTCTGAGACACACATTTTAACATCTCTGAAACTGGGTTGTATCTTAAAAATTGATGATGTATCATAGTTTAATGGGCAGTGGGTTGTGTTTGTTTTGGTTTTGGTAATGGTTCATAAAAATAAAGGGGCACTTAACCATAGTCTGCAAAAATTTTTTAAAAAAATAGTTTTTAAAGGGAGGAGTGATTTCATGGTGTTCATGAACTTAACATGGTGTTCTTAGTAAAAGTCATTGTGGAAAGTGGGCGGAGAGGCTCTAAGTTTTATAACTGTATCCTATTCATATTGGGTTATGTTTCTGTGGATACTCACTGGGCTGCACTGCCCAGTATGATAGCCGTTAGCCAAATGCGACCATTGACATTAATTAAAATTAAATTAAAAATTCAACTCTTCAGTCATACTAGCCACATTTCAAGTGCTCAGTAGCTACAATAGGCTATTGGCTACCATATTGGGCAGTGCATTTTTACTGTGCAAATGTTATAGAAAATTTACATTATCACAGAAAATTGGATTGCACAGAACTGGTCATCGGAGTTCACCTCTTATCCAAAATTCTAAAATACAAAAAGCTCTGACAAATGCCTGCTACAGACTCATTTGGTGGCAAAACAGACCTGAACTGATATGAGGTCTTTATACCACTTGGAGTGAATAATTCATACATTTCACTGTAAAAATACACCACAGAACTATTACTGAGATTAATTATAGAGTGCTACCCAACACACTGCTAGTGACGTTAGATTAGTTTAATGAAGAGAAAAGGTTAGGTACTCTACCATCTGTTAGTTACAAGATCTTGGACAACTCATCTTAATGTCTGTGAGCCTCAGTTTCCCGTTTGTAAAATGAAGATATTAATAATAACCACATTTCTTTTATCTACTTTCTGAGTTATTTTGAAGATACATTAAGATAATAGTTTTAAAAATATTTCATAAACTGTAACATACAGATTGTTAGCAGGAGGAAAATAGATTTGCTTATAATTGACATAGCTTATTTATGTTTCTCTTGTGGTTTTTAATTCCTAGATTGGGGCTGCCAGTCGTATACCTGGAGTGACACCTGCTGCCATCATCAATCTGCTCAGATTTGTGAAGACCACTCAGCAAAGACAGGCAGCTATGGATAGATTGCCCAAAACTGATCAACATTTATGTAATACAGACAAACTTGAAGATAGGCAGTTATAGCTTTCTATTCATAGAAGACTTTTAATCAATACAAGAGTATAGATAGGAGATAAGATGTATTTTTTTTTAGCTTACTATTAGTAACAAAGTTTATTTACCTAATTAAATCCAATCTAATCTTAATCGCTCCTGACAATGTACAAAATTCTTTTCTCAAAGTTCCCTTTTTTCACAAATGTTTTATCACTTTTTATATCCATATGATTTGTCCCTTAGTTTGCCCCATCCAGAAACAAACAGCTCTAGGACAAAATTATTACCATCATTTTTCCTCAACAAAAATATCTCCATTCTTGGGCTTCCTTGGTGGCGCAGTGGCTAAGAATCCGCCTGCCAATGCAGGGGACACAGGTTCAAGCCCTGGTCTGGGAAGATCCCACATACCGCGGAGCAACTAAGCCCGTACGCCACAACTACTGAGCCCGTGTGCCACAACTACTGAAGCCCGTGCACCTAGAGCCCGTGCTCTGCAACAAGAGAAACCACCACAATGAGAAGCCCGCACACCGCAACCAAGAGTAGCCCCTGCTTGCGGCAACTAGGGAAAGCCCATGCACAGTAAGAAAGACACAATGCAGCCAAAGATAAAAATAAGTAAAATAAATAAATTTTTTTAAAAACTCCATTTTTTTTTTTTTTGCGGTACGCGGGCCTCTCACTGTTGTGGCCTCTCCCGTTGCGGAGCACAGGCTCCGGACGCGCAGGCTCAGCGGCCATGGCTCACGGGCCCAGCCGCTCCACGGCATGTGGGATCCTCCCGGACCGGGGCACGAACCCGTGTCCCCTGCATCGGCAGGCAGACTCTCAACCACTGCGCCACCAGGGAAGCCCCAACTCCATTCTTTATACCTTCCCTTGCCGACAACACATATCCTACTTGCTTTACACAGTGAAATGCTTCCCTTATCATTTTTAGTAGCTTTAATTGCATATTACAATTTTTAACCCTTAAAAGCCTTAACAAAATGAAGAAACAAGTAATTGAACTTATACCAGCATTTACTGACTGGCAAACTTATGAACATATTCCATAACCTCTAAAAACTTAACATCTTTCTCATAGCATAATTTCTCTTTAATGTGGTACAAGATACGTGTTTAATAAACCCAAACATCTTCTGAAGTTCCACTAATTAACCCAAGGCTGAAGTCTCAGGCAAGGCGGGCTTTGTATTTTAAGGACATGATAAGAGTTAACTTCAAGCTTTCTCCTAGGCATATTTTTGTTCTCTCAGGGTCAGAATTCTGAAAACAGTATTTCATCAAGCTAGCTTCCTCTAAGTGCACTTCCCAACACAAACGGTCCTCAATGTCAGACACATGTCAGAACCAATTGGCAAAATGCCCAAATAGCACTTCATGCTCAAAAAAGTAGTTTGCCGGGTGCACACCGGTAGACTCGGTCTTGGAGCTCGTCAGCTCGTTTGGAGGCATCTTTCCGTTCCACCAAGGAAAAGCGTACTATTGGCAGCCAGTGCCGAGCAGGGGACAAACAGGGAGGAGCCCCGAAACAAATGGTTTCGACAGCTGCTAGGAATGTCCCCCTAAATCCCCCTCCTGGGGCCAGCGAGCCACGAGCAGCGGGGTCCTCGCAGCCATCCCAGCACGTCGTCAAGGCGGCGGCTCTGCTCCAAGATGTATTTCTATTTAGCACCTGTTAATCTTATTAGGTTATTATAGCTTTGTCATTAATTTATGAATAGGAGAGAGATTATAACTGCTTTTTGTGTATCTGAAAAAATAGTTATAAACTCTTGATTTATGCTCTTTCAGGTGCTCTAATACTATTAATATAAGTTTGGGCAGTGTTCATCAAAGAGAGATATGGTGGAACTAAAACTAAACCTGAGAAGAAAATCTCAGCCTGCAGCTAAGGCCTCTGTCGGGAATTCCCTGGCGGTCCCGTGGTTAGGACTCTGCACCTTCCACTGCAGTGGGCCTGGGTTGGATCTCTGGTCAGGGAACTAAGATCCCGCAAGCCGCGCGGTGCAGCCAACTGAATTAAATTATTTAAAAAATAAGGACTATACAAAATTATCTCACTTAAAGGAATATTTCAAAACAGCCTACCTCCTGGCGCTGCCAGCCAGAAGCACTACAGACTATGACACCCTAGGAAAAATCAGCTAAAAATGTAACCTTACTCAGTACAGTTACTTCATAGAAATCCCCCAACAATGATAATAGTCAGCCTCCAACAGCGGTCGGCCTTGTGATTCCCAACACCCACTACAGACCACACTGCCTGGTAGTCTGAAAAGCTGGGCATATACTAAAGTTCATTTCAACAGGAACACAACAATTAAAAAGAGGAAATGATAAACACTAAGCCTCTGTCAAATCATTGGTTGAGGGGGAGGGAGGGAAGATGAAGATAAGAGACCTATGCTAAATTAAACCATCACGGCCTTGAGTTATGAAGCTACCTAATAGCCAACCAAGAGTTTTAATTTTATTACTGATTGTTTTCAAATATTTTGTCAGGGACTTCCCTAACGGTCCAGTTGTTAACACTTCGCCTTCCAACGCAGGGGGTGCGGGTTTGATGCCTGGTCGGGGAGCTAAGATCCCACATGCCTTGAGGCCAAAAAAACATAAAACAGAAGCAATATTGTAACAAAGACTTTTTAAAATGGTCCACATCAAAAAATAAATAAATAAATAAAAATAAAACAGGGCTTCCCTGGTGGCGCAGTGGTTGCGAGTCCGCCTGCCGATGCAGGGGACACGGGTTCGTGCCCCGGTCTGGGAAGATCCCACGTGCCGTGGAGCGGCTGGGCCCATGAGCCATGGCCGCTGAGCCTGCGCGTCCGGAGCCTGTGCTCTGCAACGGGAGAGGCCACAGCAGTGAGAGGCCCGCGTACCGCAAA